GGGGTAACCAGGGAACACGGGGTAACCAGGGGTAAGCAGGGAACACGGGGTAAGCAGGGAACACGGGGTAACCAGGGAACACGGGGTAACCAGGAAACACGGGGTAACCAGGGAACACGGGGTAACCAGGGAACACGGGGTAACCAGGAAACACGGGGTAACCAGGGAACACGGGGTAACCAGGAAACACGGGGTAACCAGGAAACACGGGGTAACCAGGAAACACGGGGTAACCAGGAAACACGGGGTAACCAGGGAACACGGGGTAACCAGGGAACATGGGGTACACTGTGTAACTGGGGAAGATGGGGTACACTGTGTGGAACATGGGGTACACTGTGTGGAACATGGGGTACACTGTGTGGAACGGGGAACATGGGGTACACTGTGTGTAACGGGGAACATGGGGTACACTGTGTGTAACGGGGTACATGGGGTACACTGTGTGTAATGGGGTACACTGTGTGTAACGGGGTACATAGGGTACACTGTGTGTAACGGGGTACATAGGGTGCAGCAACGGGGAACACTGGGTACGTTGGGTGCAGCAGCAGGGAAGAAACATGGGGGGAAGCAAGTCAAATGGGGTACATTAAGTGTAGCAGCAGAGAACATGGGGTGGTACTCTATGATACGTGGGTTACCGCAGCTATAGCTGGGTACGCGGGTTATGGTGGGTGTACCAAGGTACCTGAGTACAGAGGGTATAACAGGGTACATTGTTGTGGGTGTAGAAGGGAACATGGGGTACAGTGGGTATAGCACGGTAAATGTGGTAGTGCAAAATGAATGACAGTACAGTAGGTATATGAGGATTAAAGGATTATCTCAGAGTTTAGCCTTTTAATTCACTATAAAATAATTATGATTTTTATTTTTACAATAACATAACCCACAGGCAGTAGTGAATAGGGAGAAGAGAAAAAAGTAATTGGCTAAGTAGAGGGAGGTGAGAGGGTTAAAACCAGTTGAGCCAGTGTGTATGGCAGTTGCTGAGTGTGACCATTTTCTGTATGGGGAATACTGTTATTTAATGTCAGTGATCAATGTTGAATCCTTAGGATGAAGATTACTGTGAAGGAGAGGATGATGCAGAGGTTCAGCAAGAATGCCTGCAGAAATTCTCCAGTAAAGATTACATCATGGAACCAGCAATATTCAACACACTGAAGAGGTATGGTCCTACTGACCATGGGGGATCTTTCACCTTACTTCCATACAGCACACATTGTACACTGGTATAAATTGCCGTGGGAGAGTGAAGTCTACCTACCGAGAATGTAATTCATGGTGAATGCTTGGGCACTTGGTCTTCGACCGTTTACTATATTAGAACATTTATATTTTGCTTGAAATTAGAACTGACTGAAAATGCAATGCTGCCTATGCCTGTTATGACCTGTATCTGTGGTGATGGTGTGTGGTAACATGTGAAGATATTAGGAAGGGCCGGTTAAAATACACAATGAATGTGCTCCATTGGGTTAGTCTAAATCTATACATTGCTGGATTATCATTTGTTGTGATGGGAATGTTCTTTTAGACATTTGATGTATAGTTGAAATGGAATAATGTATAAATACTCTTTTAAAGATCACTACTCTCCATAACCGCTGCCGTTTATGGATTCAAATATCACCCATATCAACTTGGAATTAGTTAAAATATATTGTGTCTGCAATGCTGGAGACCGTATCTTCAGAAGGATATTGATACCTTAGAGAGAGTTCAGAAAAGGGCTACTAAACTGGTTCATGGATCGCAGGATAAAACTTACCAGGAAAGGTTAAAGGATCTTAACATGTATAGCTTGGAGGAAAGACGAGACAGGGGGGATATGATAGAAACATTTAAATACATAAAGGGAATCAACACAGTAAAGGAGGAGACTATATTTAAAAGAAGAAAAACTACCACAACAAGAGGACATAGTCTTAAATTAGAGGGACAAAGGTTTAAAAATAATATCAGGAAGTATTACTTTACTGAGAGGGTAGTGGATGCATGGAATAGCCTTCCAGCTGAAGTGGTAGAGGTTAACACAGTAAAGGAGTTTAAGCATGCGTGGGATAGGCATAAGGCTATCCTAACTATAAGATAAGGCCAGGGACTAATGAAAGTATTTAGAAAATTGGGCAGACTAGATGGGCCGAATGGTTCTTATCTGCCGTCACATTCTATGTTTTCTTGACCTGCCTGTCTTACTGATAGCTGGTATGGACTGTGGTTAATGACTGTCTACGGATGCCAGTTTATATAGCTTGGGATTTACAAATACTAAAATAAAGCAACATTAACCTTGAATATTTGCTTTAACGCCCTTATCATTGTGTGCTAGGTATTTCCAAGCTGGAGGCTCTCCAGAGAGCGTAATTCAGTTGTTATCTGAAAATTACAGTGCTGTCGCCCAGACAGTGAATTTATTGGCAGAATGGCTCATTCAGTCAGGTAAGTGATATTTCAGGACCACTATAACCTCGATAAATCCCCCAGTGTCAGTAAGTCTGTTAAAGGATCACTATAGGGTCAGGAACACAAACATGTATTCTTGACCCTATAGTGCTAAACCCACCATATAGGTGACTTGCCCTCCCTTAGCCGCCCTATCAAAGTATAAACCTTACCATATCTCCAGCGTTGTGTGGGTCTGCTGGCGCTGGCTCCACCCCCTTTGTGACATCATCGAAGTGGCCGATTTTTAGCTAATCCAATGCTTTCCCATAGGGAAAGTTTTGGCCAATCAGGACCTCCTCATAGATGCATTGAATCAATTCATCTCTATGAGGAAAATTCAGCGTCTCCATGCGGAGCGTGGGGACGCTGAACGGCAGGGCTGCTTACTGTGCAGCCCTGAGCCAGGAAGCACCTCCAGTGGCCATCTAAGGAGTGGCTAGGCAGTGTTTGCATGAAAAAGCCTTAAGGGAGCTATTATACTCACCAGAACAACTACATTAACCTGTAGTTGTTCTGGTGACTATAGTATCCATTTTTTATTTTTATTAGTTTTTTTTTTTAGTCAGTCATAATTACCTTTATATGGTTGGCATGCAGGCACGACATAGCAAAAAGTTCTCATCAGTCTTATTTTAAGCCTCCATGAAATCATGCAATTTTAACCCAGCTGGCATAAATTCTAGCCAGTCATTTCCTTTAGGGTAAAAGAGACAAGTCCTCTTTATTTTGCCTTTATCTTTCCTAGTTTTTTAGTCTGATAACCAAAAAATAAGTATTATGGTGCTCATCCTCCTAAGAAAGGGGCAGCACCCAACACATTGTTAAAAAAATACAAAATAGTACAAACAAGATATATTGAGATAATGTGTCAAAAAGAAAAAAAAAACTGTTTAATTACACGTACAAATATATACATATAGATGACAGGACTCTCTGTGTATACCGTAATACTTAGCTTAAGAATGTAAACAATCCACAGTGGGGATTGCTTTTTGGATTAAACTTGTATTAGCTTGTTTGTTTTTATTTGTGTTAATAAAGATAGCGCCTTTTATATAAATTATTTAGAGTTGTTTTACCTGCCATCATCCTTCTATAATATCAGTGGTGGGGATCAAACCACCTGAGCTCTTTATATCCAGAGCAGATCCATGCTCTGTAATTTGTAAGTAGTAGTTTTTATATCCAAAAATAAATGGGGAGTATCTGCTAAAACAATAGAAAGCTAAACAAAATAGCATATAACTATGTGGATAAAGTGCAAAAATATTGCAATCCCAAATGGTCACTCACACTTTCAATAAAGTTATAAAGCCTTGTATAAAGTTCCCTTCAGGGGTTTAATCTTCTGGGTATATGCAGATCACCATATATAGCCTGGAGAACATATGCTCAAGAGAAGAAGATAAAATTGTAGTGCAAATCCGAGTGTGTAAATAAAAGAACTTTTATTAACTTACATATAGGTTTAAAACAGTGGATGTAATGATTACAAGTCACCACTAGGCGTCCTACATGTTTCGTCCGTGTGAAGGACTTCCTTAGGGACTTGGCAGTGTCACGTAACAATTCAAAGTAAATACTAACCCTCCCTTCCCTCCCCAGTCCTTTCTTCTTTTTTTTTTTTTTTCTTTTTTTTAAAATATTCTTTATTTGCTTTTCATTACGGTGCCAGACAATACATTACATAAACATTATATAAAACCATCCATAGTATAAACTGACTCATTCAATCAAACATCCTGACAAATACAATACTGCGAAGTAGGGCCCAAGCAGAGAGAAAAGAGAGTAAATAAACTAATACAATATAACTTCTTTTACCGAAATGCACTCATCACTTTATTATCCGGGCAGGGACAGAACTCTTAAAAGGCAGTTTTCTTTTGCTTTTGTTTTCTTAACCGAAGACTTATTTCTCCAGCATACCCCCAGTTCCATTTTCAGGTGGAATGTTAATTGGTTTACCCAGTGATACAATTCTATTTCTTTTGATTGTGTCCATTCTCTTAGGAAACTATGGGTAACTAAATAGAAATGTATAGCAGTTAGATCAGGCCAGCCCAAGTGAAGAATTGCAGTGACTGGGTTTTTATCAATCCTAATCCTTTCTAGTTTAACTAAAGTACGGTACACTTGATCCCAAATTCGTTTTATTTTTGGACAGTTCCACCAGATATGTAAATAACTCCCAGGTGCACTTGAACATCTCCAGCATATATTTGAGACATTAGTATCTATTTTATTTAATCTAGTAGGTACTAAATACCATCTGCTGGTAACTTTATAAAAAATTTCAATCAAAACAATGTTATGAACATTTTTCTTTAATTTTTGTAGAGCTTTTCCCCAGGCATCTACTTCTATGGACAGATTACACTCGGTTTCCCACTTGTTCAAATCATTTATATTAATATTATATGGAATTAATCGAGACTGCATATAAGATTTTGATAATTTTCTAGAATTTGCACGAGCAAATATTTGTTTGATACAAAAAGACCCTCTATTCTTTCCATCCACATAATTCTTAGAAAGAAAAGATTATATAATTAAATGTTTCTGAAACAGGTAGCTCATATTCTAGCCTTAAAGTGCCGAATGATTTAACTGAACCTCCTGCCATAATGCTTCCGATCTCTCCAATATTCTTTTCTTTCCAATGATCTAGATTTCTATCTTCTATAAGGGATTCTAAAATCTCTATCTCCATGAAGTCATATATCTTGTCCCTGTGGTTCATTTGCTTCCTCAGTTTAACCCCTTAAGGACCAAACTTCTGGAATAAAAGGGAATCATGACATGCCACACATGTCATGTGTCCTTAAGGGGTTAAACCATATCGGAAAAGTTTGACAGATTATTTTATTTTGAATTTCTTTTAGAATTAAATTTCCTTTTTCATGCCATAACATTTTATTTAATTGCTGCTTGGTCAATGATAAAGTCTCAAGTTTGTACCATCCTGTATTTATTGCTTCTTTTTTCATTAAAATTTGTATATGATGGATCATGCTAGCTTCATAGTGCTTTCTGATATTGGGAAAATTCGTACCGCCTAGCCTAGGGGCCCTCGTCAGCTGGGCTAGATTAATGCGAGGTCTTTTTCCTTTCCATACAAAGTTCCTAAATGTTCTCTGAATTAATTCTCACCAACTATCTGGTACCTTTAAAGGGACCATTTAAAAAAAAAAAATACATCCATTTTGGAAGAATATACGCGTTTATTATATTTATTCTTCCAGCCCAACTCAAAAATGTACTGTTCCATTTTTTTCAATGCCAGATTTGTTACTTTAATCAGTTTTAAGACATTCTTTTCAACAATGATGTTTGTTGTCCAACAGTATAACTCCTAAATACTCAAAGCTAGCCTCAGAATCGCATTTTGAAAACATTGCTATTGATTTATCTATGTTCATCTTATAATTCGACACTTCACTATAATAATTTATCTCCTCCATAAGATTGAAAATAGAGGCAAAGGGATCCGTCAACGTAATTATTGTGTCATCGGCATACAAACACACCTTTAGGTCCCCTGATGCTATAGGAATCCTTTTGGTGTTCCGATTAGATCTAATTCTGGCTGCAAAGGGTTCCATGGAGATAATATACAATACTGGCAAGGGGGGGGCATCCCTGACGGGTGCCATTATTCAGCTCAAACCAATCGGAACATAAATCTACGCCTACTACCCTGGCCGTGGGGTCTTGATATATAGATTTAATTGCGGCCATCATCCATCCACAAAAACCCATGGCTTCCAGGACCTTAAACATATATCTCCATCCGACCCTGTCAAAGGCCCTTTCTGCGTCCAGTGACAGGATCAGGAGAGGTGTATTCACTCTATCCCCCCAATCAGGGCCGTCTTTAATATTGATTGGACCCTGGGCAAAGCATTTGCTTGGGCCCCTGGAACCTGTCCCCCCTCACCAGGCGTGCAATCACGTCCTCCACCCTAACAAAGTGGCAGACCTAAAGTAGAGAGGTGCAAGAATTTTTTTGAGCCTCCCTATCGCACGGGTGATTAGAAGGTAGATCCCCATCTGTCGTGCAACTCCAGCAATGCACTGACAGCTGGGGCTCTTCCATTTACCCATGTTTGAAGGTTTGTATTTAGCACTAAGCAGTTGTGTGTTTGAATGTTAGCAGGTTTTTGTATGGAATATGTTTGTATGTGGTGTTGGCGTACGTGCAAGCATGTATTTATGTGTAGTGTTGGTTTTTGAATGCAAGGGTGTGTTTACATATAATTTTGGTGTGTAACTCAGACGTGTGTTTTGGAGTTTGAATGCCAGTGTGTATTTGTATGTGATGTTAGTGTGTGAATGCTGAGATGTATGCACATATACACACACACACATATCGATATATATATATTTATTTATGGCACACACAGACAGACATACTGGTACACAGACATACTGACACACACACAGTCAGACCTACTGACAGACAGGGACCTACTGACAGACACACACAGACATACTACACACACACAGACCTACTGACAGACACACATACACACACAGACCTACTGACAGACACACACACACACACAGACCTACTGACAGACACACACCCAGACAGACATACTGACACACACCCAGACAGACATACTGACACACACCCAGACAGACATACTGACACACACCCAGACAGACATACTGACACACACCCAGACAGACATACTGGCATACACAGACACATAGTGGACACACACACACAGACATAGTGGCACACACACACAGACAGACATAGTGGCACACACAGACAGACATAGTGGCACACACACACAGACAGACATAGTGGCACACCCAGGTAGACATACTGGCACACAGACACACAGACATACTGGCACACAGACATACTGACACACACACAGACATACTGACACACACCCAGACAGACATACTGGCATACACAGACACATACTGACACACACACACAGACATAGTGGCACACACAGACAGACATAGTGGCACACCCAGGTAGACATACTGGCACACAGACATACTGACATACACACAGTCAGACCTACTGACAGACACACAGACCTACTGACAGACACACACTGGCACACAGACATACTGGCACACAGACATACTGACCCACAGACATACTGAAATACACCTATGCAAACTTTAAAGCCCCCCTCCAGTTTCCTACCTTCCCTGGGGTCCAGTGTGCTGGCTTGGGTGGTTGGGAGTTGGGGACTTGGTCTCCTTGCTCAGTCCGCCTCCTCACTGCGTCCTGGCACAGGCTCCCTCCCGCGCGGCTCATCATCTCTGAGGGAGGAAGTGACTTGCGGACGTCACTTCCTCCCAGTGCTGCTGTAAAGGGTCACAGCACCCGACCGGGCCCCTGCTGAAACGTGCTCACCGGGTGGCCCTAAATGTATTGGCCACCCGGTGAGCCTCCTTAGAGTATGGGCCCCGGTGCAGCCGCAATACCAGCACCGCGGGCCCATGGGGGGGGAGGGATTTTTTTTATGCAGGCTATGGGCGGCGGGGCAAATAGGGCAGCTGCTTTGGGCCCCCAAGGAGTAACTGGGCCCGGGGCAGCTGCCCCGTTTGCCCCACGTTAAAGACGGCCCTGCCCCCAATCCAATATGTCTATCAATCTCCTGGAATTAGCATTTGCCTCTCTGAAAGGAACAAAGCCGATTTGATCTTCATGTATAAGGATAGGCAAAATAGATTTAATTCTTTCAGCCAAAATGGCCGAAAACAATTTAGAATCTACATTAATTAAAGATATCGGGCAATAATTTTTCAGTTCATTAGGGTCCTTATCTTTTTTAATGATAGGGATAATATTTGCATAAAGCATTTCTTTGAGTCCAGATCCTTTCTCAACTATCTCATTATAGACATTAACTAGAAGTTCACATATTAAATTACTGTATGTTTTATAAAAATGGTTTGTCAACCCATCTGGGCCTGGGGTTTTATATTTTTCTAATCTTTCAATAGCGGTGTGAAATTCTATTCTCGTAAGAGGCGTATTTAACTTATCATTAAGCTGTTTGGGAATTTCTGGTAAATTAATATCTTCCAAATAATTCTTTATTTGTTTTTCCCCTAATGATTTAGGAATGTTCTATAAATCTTCGTAATAGTTCTTAAAGATTCTTGCTATGTCTTCAGGGTTCTATATTATCTATATCTATTATCTATATCTATAAACTTATTAGTCAACCACTTTGTAATTTTGTTGTTATCATGATAATTTACTTTAATCTTTTCTAGATTTCTGTTAATTCTTTCTGTTTCTATTTTATTTATTTTTTCTTTGATATCTTTTAATTGTATTATTGTTTCATTAGTGAAGAGATTTTTCATATTTTTAGAGATTCTATAATATTGGATATAAAGTTCTTCTCTAGTGGCACCCCTTTCCCTATTTAGTCTACTTTTGAGTTTTATCAAATAGCCTCTTACGACAGCTTTGAAGGCACACCAGATCACTGAATATGACATACCATCCGTTTTGTTTTCCTTGAAATATAACTCAGTAAGTTTTCCAATCTGATTTTGATGTTCACTCTTTAAGATAATATTGTCATCCAATCGCCAGGTATTAAAGGGGTTTTTATTTTTTTATCCTTTATGCTAAATATGTTGTAACTATGACCCGCCCATGGATTTTCAACTATTTCTGTTTTTTTAATCTGTTGCACCAAAGAATTCTCTTCCGAGACCAGATCTATTCTGGAAAGAGACTGATGAACTCTAGAGAAATTAGTATTTTCTCTTTCCATGGGATAGAAAACACGCCAGATATCAGTAAGACCACTCTCTCTCATAGTATTTCCCAGAATTTTTGATTGTTTCTTTGTCTATTTTTATTTTTTTTTAATCATCTTTAATTTTTTTGTCTACTGAAATATCTGGAACACAATTAAAATCCCCTGCAATTATTAGGATCCCCATTTTTACTTTGTCAGCCTTATCCATTATTTTTTTAAGATATTAGGCAGATATAAATTTACAATAGTGTATATTATTGATTCTATTTTACACACTAAAATTAGAGCTCTACCTTCCTCATCCAATAGCAGCTACTCTCTTTTTTTATTTTTCCCCTTCCAAAGATGCATGTAAAACCTCTGCATATTGTTCATATCTCCATCTTATTTTGTCCTCCCTTTTCCAATGCGTCTCCTGGATTATTGCTGTTTCTATCTGTTCTTTTTAAAGTAATTCTAGTAGGAGTTTTCTTTTATAAGGGGTATTTAATCCCTGAATATTCATGGATATGCACTTCAGAATGATTCCCTATTTCCTTCCCCTTTCCCTCCCTGTTCCCTCCCCCTTCACAGAATACAACCATACAACATTCATCCAACAACTGAAATTCCTACAATAATAGGGATATTTCCATCCATTCTTATCCACACCTACAAGAGAAAACATTCCTCCGTTGATGTGACTCTTAACGTTATTTCTCATAATGTTACTAGATGAGATCTCATTAAGGATCTCCAAGCGGGACTTAAAGGGTAAGATCAGGAGTGACCGAAACATTAATATATCAAAAAGTTAAACACAGCTCTTTCCTCTTTTCATATGAGAGATATGAGTAAAGAATATAAATATAATATACCACAACCATAATACAGATTTCAAGGGGCCAAAGGCCCAATTTTACCTTTCCTCACGTTATTTCCTATCTATTCCCCAATTCTTTAAATCGTTATTTTCAGTGGATATACCGTTATTCAAATAGTGATTTCATATAAACCTTTTTATCCTAAGCTCAATCTTATCTATAATAAAGTATTGTGCACCTGTGTTCTTATATTTCTATAATCGTGGTTGTGTATTTCTTTTCTTGCTTTATATAATAATTACCAAAACTTCTATATAATTAATCAAAGTCCTCATCTTCCATTTTTCTTCTTCATACTCTCTCTGTTCTTCTTCGATATTTATATATAACTCAGCTCATAGTTCTACTTCTCAATAGCGTTAAATAAGTTGCTCTTTAGTTCATTTTTCGAGATCTTTCGGTTCAGGAAATACAGCTTTTTTTGTCTTTCCAGAGTAATATGACTGTTCCGTTAGGGCCTCACCTATATCTTATATTTTGTTGTTTGAGCGGAGCCAAAGCAGAAAAAAATAATCTTCTCTTTGATCTTGTAAATGAAGAAATATCTTGATAGACTATCAGATCTTTGAATCTTCCTTCTTCAATTCTCTTTATTCTGCTAGCTTGCATTACTTGTTGTTTCACATGCAAGGAGTAAAATATCACAACCAAGTCCCTTGGGCTAGATTCCGGAATATTAGGAGGCTTTCTTACCCGATATATATTTTCTGTAGCGTATACCTTGTAGCGGAGTAGTAGGGGTTAATCCACGGTATCTCCGCTGGTAGTCATGATAAGCAGGTAAAATCCAGGTAGCGTAGTAATAATCCCTTCCTCCCAAGAACTAGACGACACATAGCTTGGAGGTCAACTGAGGTTTTTAATCACAGACACAGTATTTATGTGGTTACAATTATAAGGGGTTTCCTGAGTCACAATGCAGGGTTTGCCCAGTAGGGGACTACATGGGGGACTGAGTTTTACAGCCAGAGTACCCAGCATACATTGCTGTAGCAAGGAGATAATTATCCCAGAATGCATTGCTAATGGGATTATCCCTTGGTACAGGGAAATACAGTTTTTATAATAAAATCTATAATTGACATAATATTTATGCTAGACAGCTATTTAACCCTTTATTACATAGCTGGGACCTGGCCGCACAGTTAAGGGAACTTGCGCTCAGATCCCAGGACAAATAACCGAACGCAGTTCAGTTTCCCTTATCAGGACCACTTTGTTTAACCGATTGCCTGAATGGAGAGAATGAAAGTCCCGAAAACGACAAACTCGCGAACGGCTCGGAGGTCCAGCGGGGCTTGTGTTGCCGAGTAGCCGATCTTAGTTCCAGGCACTCAACAACAAAACCCTGCTGGTTTTCCGCGAACAAAGATGGCCGCCGCCTCGTGTTCGGTACATGAATGGCAGCCACCCGCAACAGACCGCAATTAACACAGATACAATGTTGCAAAGTACCTAATTGGAGACACACGACCTGTTATGGGTGGTCTCCCATTCGGTACTTTGCTTATTCCACGAACAGTGCGGTGATTCACTGTTCATGGATAACCAGGCTTAACATCAGCGGTATTCGTGTGCTGTAACACACGAATGCCGCATACATTGCACAATAAAAATATCAGTAGCAGGAATATACAGTTGGTTTGAATATACTGTGTAAGTCTATAAGTGGCTAGATTTGCCACATCCTTATTCAATATTTTAACGTCCAGAGCTGTCAAAAATTCAAGTACCTACTCCGTTATGTTCTCCTGTGTGATGCTTTCTGGAATATTTTTTTTTTTTTTTTTAAATCTTTATTTTGATTGCGCATATAAAGTTACAAAACAAAACATGGGTGTTGTTTGCCACCTTTGTATAACAGTTAATAGTTCGAAATATGCAGGTAACAAAGTCTGCGCATTTTTACATTTATCACAGTTGTACAACAGAATAGGGTAACAATAATGGATTTGAGGAGATTTTGTCTCAAAGCGGACAATATAGTTTGTTCTATTGAGTTCAATATAACTTCAAGCATGGTATAGTTTGCAGCTTATAGTAATGGGGGAACAACGGGGAAGGGGTAGAAACAGAGCAGGTATTAGGGTGGTTTTGTGTAGCTGGTGGTTTAGACGGTGATTAAGTGGCTCTATTGCCTAGATAAGTCAGCCAAGGTTGCCATGTTAAGGTGTAGGTGGAGTATTTGTTTGAGTATGATGCGTCTAGTTCTTCCATGGTCCGTATGAATTCTACCTTTTGTATCCACTCCCGCACTGACGGGGCCCTGGTGCTTTTCCATTTCAACGGTATCAACATATTTGCTGCTGTCAGCAAATGGTTGACTAGTTTGCGTTGGAGGTTTGGAATGTGGGTCGTGTGGACAAGGAAGAGGAAGGTTTCAGGTGATTGTGGTAGTTGATGGCCTGTTATAGCCTTGATTAGCCCTCCTAACCTCTGCCAGTAAGTTTGGATGGTCGGGCAGAGCCACCAGATATGAGCTGTAGTTCCTCTGGGTTGCCCACACCTCCAACATGTATCTGACGCTGTTGGAAAAATAGCATGTATCTTAGCAGGTGAGTAATGCCATCTAGAGATTCTTTTATATGTGCTTTCCCTTACTGCGGTGCTGATGGACGTGGTATGGGCATAGATGAATATTTTATGCCATGTACCCATTGGAATGTTAATCCCCAGCTCAGTTTCCCATGACGCTGTGAATGGGGGAGGAGGGGTGGGATTGATGGTGTTAAGGAGTCTGTAGAATATAGATAGGTGCTTGATTTGTAGGCTGTGTGTAGTACAGTAGGTTTCAAATTTGGTGTGTGCTCGTGTTCCTCGGAGAAGGTGTGATCCCCCCTTCAGGAAGTGTGACAGTTGGGCGTATTGGAAATATTGCTGGGAAGTTGGGTGGTCTGTGGATGCTAAGATAGACAGCGGGGCTATCCCCTTTGGTGTGATGACCGTGCTGACCATCGGGTATTTTGTTTTTTGAGTCGGTGGGAACTGATGGAAGAACTGGGGGTAAGCCCGGTAAAAAGTTGGGGTTATGTGCTAGAGGGTAGAAGGGTGAGGGATGTGGGGAGACGTCAGTTTGGTGTCTAATGCGTGACCATATACGTAGTGTGGGCATGATCGTTGGGTGATGAACGTGTTGTGGCCGGAGGAGAGAACGACCCTCGTCGTGCCATGGGATCATACATAGAGGGGATTGGAACATGGAGCTCTCTATGTGTACCCATTGTTTGAGTGGGTGTATTGCATTCCATTCGTATATCCTAGTCAGTATGACCGCCTGGTAGTAGCGTTCAATGTGGGGTAGTCCCAACCCTCCCTGTTCTCTATGTCTGGTCAGAACCGAGTATGCTATCCTCGGACGTTTATTCGCCCAGATGAAGGTCGTGAAGATTCGTTTGAGTTTAGTGAAGAAGGAGGGGGGGATTGTGATGGGGAGTGTTTGTAGGAGGTACAGCACTTTAGGTAGCGTGTTCATCTTCAATATGTTGATCCTACATAACCAGCTGAAAACCGGTCTCTGCCAGTCCCCTATATCTTTCGATATTGCCGTTAGAAGTGGTGTGAAGTTTAGATCATATGTGTGTTTTAAGTGTCTGGGCAGGTGGACCCCTAGATAGGTGATGGACTTCTCGGCCCAAGTGAAGGGATATACGGCTTTAAGTTCAGTTTGTGTGCGTCTGTCCATTCGGAGGGGTAAAATTTCGCTTTTTGTGTAATTGACCTTAAAGTTGGATAGTTCTGCATATGCCTCCAGTTCTGCAAGCAGGGGTGGCAGGGAAGTGAGTGGATCCATGATGGAGAATAGTAGATCATCTGCAAATGCAGAGACCTTAAACTCCTGTGGGTGGACAGTAAATCCGTGAATGTCGTCGTTGTCTCTTATTCCCTGCAAAAAGGGTTCTAAAGAGAGGATGAAGAGTAAGGGGGAGAGAGGGCACCCCTGTCTCGTGCCGTTGCTAATGTGTACTGGGCTTGATAATTGGCCATTTATTCTCAATTTCGCCGTCGGGGTAGAGTATATGGCTCCCATCCATTTCATCCAATTTGGGCCAAAGCCTAAGGCTTGGAGTGTGGCTGTCAGCATTTTCCAGTCTACTCTATCAAACGCCTTTTCTGCGTCTATGGATAGAAGTAGGCTCTGTCTTTGAGTGACATGGGAGAGGTGTATGAGATTTAATAGTTTAGTTGTATTGTGTTTGGCCTCGCGTTTAGGGACGAAGCCAGATTGGTCTTGGTGTATTAAGGTGTGTAGGATCGGTTGAAGTCGCGTGGCTAGAATTTTCGTGCATATCTTTAGGTCTACATTGATGAGCGATATTGGGCGGTAACTACCGCATTCAGTGGGGTCTTTGCCCGGTTTCGGCAACAGTGTGATGTGTGCTTCTAGTGCCGATGCTGGGAGTGGGAGCGGGTCTGTGAGAGCGTTAAATGCCCTCAGGTATGGTTTCGTCAGAAGTGTGGCAAAGTGTTTATAGTATTTGGCCGTAAGGCCATCAGGGCCTGGGCTTTTGCCCAACGGTGTTGATTTGATCGCACATTTTAATTCGTCCTGGGTAATAGGCATGTCTATGGAGCGGGCTACGTCCGCAGGGATTGTGTTTTTGAGCCTAGAGGAAAGAAAACTTTCTATGTCAGTTGTGGAGGGGGGCGAGTTCCTGAGATTGTACAGTTTGGTGTAAAATTGTTGAAAGGCTTCCATGATATCTGGAAGGGTGTGGGATATTGTGCCTGTTTGTGTCTTGATTTTAGGAATGTATGCATTTTGTCTGGATTGGCGCAGGGCATTGGCAAGCAATTTGCCGCATTTGCCTCCCCTCGCGTAGTAGGAGTGTTTGGTGTTTAAGAGTTTTTTCTTGGCTTGGCGTTGCAGTAATTGTGTCAGTTCTGCGCGTTTGGTTATGAGAGTGTTATACGTCAGGAGGGAGCTATCCCTGGAGTGAGTATGTTCCAGGGTCCTAATTTCCCGTGTGAGTGCATCGATTCTTTGCATCCTCTGTTTTTTAAGGGTAGCCATGATTGCCAGAAATTCTCCCCGTATGACACACTTGTGTGCCTCCCAGGTTATGATGGGGGAAATGGATGGGAGCGTGTTTTCTTGGAAGTAGTTAGCGAGAGCAGTTTCCACTCGCGATGTGATGGCGGGGTCATTGAGTAGGAAATCATTAAGTTTCCAATGAAAAGATGTTAGCGGGAGTGTAGGAATCCGTACGGCAAGAGACAGGGGTGCGTGATCCGACCAGGTGATCGGGCCGTAAGTGCAGGAGGTGGCCAGGTGTAAGTGGTCCTGGGGAAGGAATAGCATGTCCAGTCTAGAGTATGTGCCCGAAGCTGTAGAGTAGAAGGAGTAGTCTCTAGTTTGAGGATGCATGGTTCTCCAACAGTCATGTAGCCTAGCCTGATCGAGGAGGTGTGATACCTGCTTTCTTGTAGTGGTCTGGTAGTGTGTGGATTGGGAGGTCGTGTCGAGGGTAGAGTCTAAGGACATGTTTAGGTCACCACCCAGGATTAACATGCCTTCCATGAAGGATTCAATTATGCGGAGGTGTTTCTTAAGAGCCTTACCCTGGTGTCTATTGGGCAGGTATATGTTAGCAAAGGTAAGCATGTTTTGACCTATCTGGCCTTTCACCAGGATCAGTCTGCCCCCATCGTCCGTTTTGTGGTCTTTGTATGTGAAGGGGGTATGTGCGGAAAATAGTATGGCCACCCCCCTGGCCTTGGTATCTCTGTAGTTGCTGAAAAAACCTGTGGGGTATGCCCTGTTTTTGAGAGTAGGGGCTATGCCTTTTTTAAAGTGGGTCTCTTGTATAAAGACCACATCTGCTCTGAGTTTATGCATTTCCGTGAGAGTCATGGATCGCTTCTCAGGGGTATTGAGGCCTTTCACATTGAGGGTGACTATCTTTAGAGTGGCCATCGGGTCTGAGTGTGTGTGTGGCCCTTGCGGAGGGTCCGTCTTGTTCATTGTGGGGTGAAAGGGATGGGGGGGGTTGGGTCGGTTGTGAAATTAGGGGAGTAACAAGGAAGAAGGGAAAAGAAAAAATATACAAATACAGTAAATAACTTATATACAAACAGATATTCAATAATTAAATAGAATTTATAATTATCCCCTTAGGTTGTGGAAAGGTGCAGGTCTAGCCAGTCGCCCATCGGCAGCCTGAGGGGAGAACCTCTGGTGTCGGACCCAAGGTGGGATTTTGCCACCTGGGTGCGTCTGTGACACCGTGGTGTAGGTCGTGTCAACCTAATACGATAGGAGTTATCAAGTATGCATATGATAGTAATTAAACAGTGAGGGAGAGAAGCGGGGGTGGTCTTAGGTAGTTGACGTCAACCAAAAGCTCTCTTGATGGAGCAGAAGGAGAATTGGTTTACAGTCAATCACCGCCAGAACACAATCCGTTAACATTATTTACAACACATCAAACATTCAGGCATGTGTATCAGTAATAGGAGTTAAACATATTAAACTGTGCCAATGTCTATGAGCCTTTTTTTTTTTTCCTCTTTTTTTATATATTTTAGCTGACGGTTGTTCTTAACCTGTGTAGTGGGCCAATAGGTGGGATTGGATTACCGTGCTACGGCTGCCCTCTGCCAACCCGGTTACCTGGTCCGCAGAGTGGGGGGTTGATTAGTGCTAGAGAAACCTTGCTGTCTGGCCTGTAACCATGTCCGCATTGGAGGTGATTATCACTGCAAGCCGTTATATACGGTTACTCATTAGTGGGAGATATTAGGCTGGATAGGTCTAAAAGGGGATAGTAGATGAGGAATTGTTGCTTCCTGCTGTAGTGAGCGCGTTATTGCGATATATAGGCAGCGGGCAGTGAATACAGTCACCTGAGTCCCGGGAGGTGTGCAGGAGGCTGGGAGGAAGCGTGCTCTTCTACAGCCTAGCAGTGTAACGAGAAAGTCAATTTCGGCCAGTTTGTGCGGTCGTCTGAGGCAGGTTTCAGTTAGTAGTTGGTGTCTTTGAGGTTTCAAGAGAGTTGTAGGTTGCTGGTCCCAGGACCTGGTCCGACAGCGGTTCATGCCGTTTGCTCCGGGTTAGAGTCCAATCACTGTTGCATCGGGTCTCGGTTGTCCATTTTCTTTTTCTTGGGTGTTTGTTGCCATCTGGGTCTCTGTGGCAGCTGAGGGAGTAGTGGTGTTTGCAGTGGTCCATACCAATCTTGGATGTGCGGATCTGTTAAATTGAGAGTCTGGATAAAGAGAGGAATGTCTGCATGGGAGTGGATGGTGTGCTGGGCGCCTTTGTGCGTGACGCTCAGCGCAAGTGGATATCCCCACCTGTATCTTATATTTCTAGCTCTCAATTGATCTGTAATGGGGCGCAAAATCCTTCTCGCTTGTAGTGTCAGCCAGGAGAGATCTGGATAGATTGTGATTGGAGCTTCGTGGAACAGAAGGGGTTGTGAATTTTGTTTCAGCGTGTTCAGTATGTCTTCTCTGCAGGTGTGGTAGTGGAGTCTGCAGATGACGTCTCTGGGTTTGTCTGTCGCTATACCTCTGGGTTTCAACGCTCTGTGTGCTCTGTCTAGGAGAATGTGGCTGTCTCCTGGTTTTCTTAATATAAGGTTGAAGAGTTCATTTAGGGTTGCATAAATATCTTCCTGCTCACATTCTGGGAGACCCCGAATCCGCAAGTTGTTGCGGCGCCCCCTATTGTCCAGATCATCTATAGACCTATGGAGCGTGGATAGGTAAGCATTTTGGTGTTCCACTGTTGCCTGTAGGGAGCTCAATTGTGTTTGTATGGCGTCCCTTTCATCTTCCAGAGTGACCACTCGGTCAGAGACCTGGCGGATCTCTGAGCTAAAGGAGTCCATCTTGGCCTGGACTGAGGCTTCCAGCCGGGTCAGCATACCTGTAATATCCTGCTTGGAGGGTAAGTTCCTCAGGATCTCCTTCAGGTCCCCTTCTGTTGGTGGGCCCGAGCTGTATGAGTCCGCCGGGCTGGATGGGGACATGCATAAAGGCGGGGAGTCAGCCGCCATGTTGGGGCCTAGCAGGCCGGTATTGCTGTCCGCCCGGTCGCGGAAATACTTGGTAAGTGCTCCCGATTTCCCCGACGGGGTTTTGCTGGGGGCTTGTTGGGATGATGTGGCTCGTTTAGGGTGACCCATCTTTGTTTTGTGCGGCCCGATTAAGTCGGATTGTGTTTGGCGTGGCCGGAGCTAATTCAGATCGCGGCCATTCAGCAGCTCGGTTGGCCCCGCCCCCACCTTCTGGAATATTTTTGACTCTGATGTTTTTAGTTCTTTTTTTATCCTCCAGTCCATTGATTCTCTGTTCAAGAATTTTTACTTCATTACTGATTTTTTTTTTTTTTTTTCTTGTGCTTTTATAAGTGTTTTATATTGGAATTCCATTCATTCCCATTTTTCTTCCGTTTTAGATAGTTTTTCAGTCGGTAAGTGCTATTGTTAATTTCCTTTTTAAACTCTGCAAATAATTCAATGACATTCTCCTGTCTTCCACAATAGATTCTTCTACGAGTGAATTATGTTCATCCAGTTTTTTTGAATTAAGAGGAAAAAAATCTGCTGCTCCTTTGCTTTGATTGACATCATTTTTTTTAAACTCTTTTTAGTATCTTTTTTTTTGCCATCTTGGCTGCAGCCATGTTATTCATGTTATTCCACTACTTGAATCAGCTGCCCCTTTACTGTAAAGTTGCCTTCTTTCTCTCTTCTAATACCTCTAATTTGATTTTAAGTAGAGATTTTCAGCTTCAGCGTTTTCTCTTCAATGCTTAAATAGAGATAGCTTTTTGCTTTTACCGTTTTAATATAATTCTTGTATAACACTATTTCTCTGATTATTGCAACCTTCTCTGAACTTTCATTTGCAATTTTATCAGATATATCAGGGTATCTTTACTCTGACTTTAGGAAACAGATTATTCCACTTTACCCTTTTTCTTAAATAGTTTCTAGATATCGTCTTTCTCCTTTAGCACTTTACAAAAAATAGTTTTCTATACCAATGATGGATATATATATTCCCTCCAGTCACCCACTTAGTACGTACTTGCTTTTGAATAGATTGTCTCAAGGGAGAACTCTATAAACCTCTATTTATTTGTTTTGAGTCCAAAGCAGCATATTTATGAGGCTTGTAAGTGTGTTCTGTCCGATTTTCTCCTTTAGCTCCCTCTTCCTTAGAAGGCCATCTCCTCGTGGCAGTATGTTCATCAGAGCGCAGTCAGCCGTCGATCCTTTTCGTCCTCCCGATGCGTGCGCTCGTTGCGTTCACGTCAAAACTGATGACTATAGTATCCATTTAAACCTAACCTGAGACCTATACACAGTGCTACATTCTTTCATTACAGGGGTGGAACCTGTGCAAGTTCAAGAGACTGTGGAAAATCACCTAAAGAGTTTATTGATAAAGTACTTTGACCCACGTAAAGCAGACTCCATATTTACAGAAGTAGGAGAGGTAAGATGGGTGCTGTAAGTTAGTCACATCGCAGGAGCAGAATAAAATTAATATTAATTAGAAAATACGATAATGGGCTCAAGCTCAGCAAAGCCATACATTTTACTATTAGGTTACAAAGAGACAAATAGGCCAGACAAATTCTGATGGGGTAAGAAATTAAGGGAGGTTGGTGGGTCACCGCTAATAATAATAATCACCCTGTTACTAAGAGAAAGGGTGACTGGAACCTGCTGGGGCAGATTAACTAAACCACTATCTAGTCCCTCTTACTTATCCTCATATCTGGAGTATTTGTTAATCAAATATTGTATCAGATTCTCAAAGCGGTCTTTTAGTGTTATGCCTAATTATTGATTTCTAGTCCTATATCAGACAGGATTTATTTTAAACCACTTTGGAGGCATATTATCTAAATATGTTTATTGGGGCCCGATTTCTAGCTCTTCAATGGATAATCTGCTATTTTAAATGTTATTGTGGTTATACATTGCACAAGTGGGTTGTTATTTTATATATTTTTTCACTCCACCATTTCCACCTGAGTATCACCGGAAGAGCGATCTCTAGTGGTAGTTTTTTCAAATGTTTCCATTTTTGTGAGTGTTTTGTCTGGCTCTTTGTGGCATCAGGGGACATCCCTGTCTAAGACCCTGGTGAATTGCTCCTTCTGTGAAATGGTTGGTTTATATATGTACCTTCTTAAATATCAACTCAGTGTTTAACCCCCACCATGCACCACAGCCTCATGGCTTTTTAATGTGCATATTTACCATCTCTTACTCTAATTTTTATAATCATTGCATATTCTAATAAAGTTGTTCAGCCATTATTTTATTTATTGGAAGCATCTCCCTCTTTGGACTCTCTTGGGCCTATTTGTCTATTTTGTAAACTAATTGAATTGAATTGTTGTGGGTTACCCCCACTTGGGGCCTCTTAGACACGGTTATTTGGTTACAGAGTGGCACCTTTTTGTCATATCAATACAGATCAATCCTAAAAGTAGAGAGTGTCTTTGTTTTGCTTTACAGACACCGGCATGGCTGGAGCAGATGATCGCGCACACTACATGGAGAGACCTTTTCTATAAGCTGGCAGAGGCCCATCCCGATTGTCTGATGCTCAACTTCACTGTAAAGGTGAGCCATGTTACCAAATATTCATTGACACCTCAATTTAAAAAATGGAACACTCCAAACACCACAACCACTACAGCATCACTTCCTGCCTCTCTGCAACCTCTAGAACAGCTGGAAGTTTTCTGCCATTGGCTGAAAGCGATCAGCTGATTCACCAGCCAATGAGCTGGCCCTGTACTGCAGGGTTTGGCTCAGGAGAACTAACAGAAGCTCCCAGCAGGAGCTTCCATCTCACTGGAGGCTACAGAGTGGCACCCAGCGGACACCAAGAACTCAAACAGTTCTACAGCTTGATTTGAGGGGAACCCGGACACTTTGGGCATTCTCCTTTAATGTCACTGATTTTGTCAAGCTGTTTAAAGGCATCACAGCCTCATTTTTAACAACATAGGGAGAAATCCTTGAGTTTATGCTTGATCCTCACAATCTGCGTGTCCTCTCTGACCAAAAAAAACAAGTTTAATGTGACACTCCAGTCCCTTGAAGCTCCCCAAATTGCGGAAGTGAGGGCTTTTCATTATTTTCCTTGTTCAGAATAGCTGCCCTAGTCTCATACTCTATTTCACAGTTAATTTCAGATGCTGGGTACCAAGGGGAAATTACCAGCGTATCCACAGCATGCCAGCAGCTGGAAGTCTTTTCCAGAGTCCTCCGTACTTCGCTGGCCACCATATTGGATGGAGGAGAGGAAAACCTGGAGAAAAACCTGCCTGAATTTGCAGTACGTTTATTTAATTTTTGTTCAGATTCATCACTTTGAAAAGAACAGGAAATACAGAGTGTGAGGTGGTTACTGACAGGTTGATGGTTGTACCTGGTGCAGAAAACAGATGATAGAATTTCCTGCTGCACTTCTTTTTATTTTCTTGCATTAAGTTCTTTATTTTTTTTTTCTCTTCTTTATGCAGTTGGAAACCGGGTAAAACTATTTGCTAATTCTTTATATAAATACTGGTAAACCCCCAGAGTTTCTGTGTGAACATTGTGTCTTTGTCTCTGCAGAAGATGGTTTGTCACGGTGAGCACACCTACCTGTTTGCCCAGGCCATCATGTCTATTCTGGCTCAGGAGGAGCAGGGGGGCTCTGCCATGCGACGAATTGCTCAGGAGGTCCAGAGATTTGCACATGAAAAGTAAGTGCACTTAGCATTTACATTGAAGTCAGACATCACAGTCACAGACCCATCCACACAATAAATACCTTCCTGGTGCTCACCGTCGTGTGATATTACTTTCCTGTTTAGCAGGTAATTAGCCATAGAAGGGGCACACGCTGTTAGGGGAACCAGGTCCAGTGAGAGGGAGTGTGAGGCTAACCCACACCCTAACGTATTAAACCATTTATTTTTTTGTCTGTGTAGAGGCCATGATGCCAGTCAGATTACGTTGGCGCTGGGCACTGCAGCATCATATCCACGTGCATGCCAGGCACTGGGTGCAATGCTGTCTAAAGGAGCTCTCAATCCAGCTGATATCACGGTGTTGTTCAAAATGTTTACAAGCATGGATTCCCCTCCAGTTGAGCTGGTAAGTTCATTAGGATGTGTCCAGTACTTTGGGACGAATCGAGTAAGAAAGGGGTAGTGAGCATTGTGCATGATTAATCATAGAAATATTGTCATAGAGCGAAAGGTAAAAATAAATCGGTTATGTATGTCCTACTAGCTGCAATCTCCTGACCGTGGTTCCCAGTGAGAATTTATGCACCTTAAGTCGGATTGTCGGTTGTCCTATCCAATATATTTTGCATTGTTCTGTTGATTTTCACAATGACCCGACAGAAAATATTGCGGGCAAAAAGAACACGCAACGCTGAAAACAGCTGCAGAATAGTGAGCATGGGGTTTAAATAAGCGACAGTCTGACCAAAGATGCATAAAGATGGCTGTCAGAAAGGTAGAGGTATAAGATCAGGCAAGTGAAGTCTTACATGTCAATAGACATTCAAAAAGGCAGAGTTTATAACATAAAGATGGTTTAAAAAAAGTGTTTCTTTGAAGAAGTTATGTTTAAATGAAAATGTCATGTTCTTCTTATTAAGGATAATATTAACAATAATCCTGATATTCCTGCCTTTTCCTTCCAAGATCCGTGTTCCTGCATTCTTGGACCTCTTCATGCAATCACTGTTTAAACCGGGTGCTAAAATTAACCAAGATCACAAGCACAAATACATCCACATTCTGGCATACGCAGCCAGTGTTGTGGAAACCTGGAAAAAGGTAGGTATGGTGAGCGGCCAAGGTGGGTTTCCCTCTTTCTAGCACCTGCTGACACGGAATGGATGTTTTTGCAGAACAAGAGAGTGAATATTAACAAAGATGAGTTAAAGTCGACATCAAAAGCCATAGAGACTGTGCATAACCTGTGCTGCAACGAAAACAAAGGCGCTTCCGAACTGGTGGCCGAGCTCGGTACCCTGTATCAGTGTATCAGGTGAGTGTAAGTGCGATCCAGGTACTCGCTTTGTGAGTGTGGCCGCAGTCTGATCATTTACTGCTCTCTGTGTCTGTCTGTATCCTGTGAGCACGGCCGCAGTCTGATCATTTACTGCTCTCTGTGTCTGTCTGTATCCTGTGAGCACGGCCGCAGTCTGATCATTTACTGCTCTCTGTGTCTGTATCCTGTGAGCACGGCTGCAGTCTGATCATTTACTGCTCTCTGTGTCTGTCTGTATCCTGTGAGCACGGCCGCAGTCTGATCACTTACTGCTCTCTGTGTCTGTCTGTATCCTGTGAGCACGGCCGCAGTCTGATCACTTACTGCTCTCTGTGTCTGTCTGTATCCTGTGAGCACGGCCGCAGTCTGATCACTTACTGCTCTCTGTGTCTGTCTGTATCCTGTGAGCACGGCTGCAGTCTGATCATTTACTGCTCTCTGTGTCTGTCTGTATCCTGTGAGCACGGCCGCAGTCTGATCACTTACTGCTCTCTGTGTCTGTCTGTATCCTGTGAGCACGGCCGCAGTCTGATCACTTACTGCTCTCTGTGTCTGTCTGTATCCTGTGAGCACGGCCGCAGTCTGATCATTTACTGCTCTCTGTGTCTGTCTGTATCCTGTGAGCACGGCCGCAGTCTGATCATTTACTGCTCTCTGTGTCTGTATCCTGTGAGCACGGCTGCAGTCTGATCATTTACTGCTCTCTGTGTCTGTCTGTATCCTGTGAGCACGGCCGCAGTCTGATCACTTACTGCTCTCTGTGTCTGTCTGTATCCTGTGAGCACGGCCGCAGTCTTATCACTTACTGCTCTCTGTGTCTGTCTGTATCCTGTGAGCACGGCCGCAGTCTGATCATTTACTGCTCTCTGTGTCTGTGTATATCCTGTGAGTGCAGCCGCAGTCTGATCATTTACTGCTCTCTGTGTCTGTATCCTGTGAGCACGGCTGCAGTCTGATGACTTACTGCTCTCTGTATCCTGTAAGTGTGGCCGCAGTCTGATCATTTACTGCTCTCTGTGTCTGTATCCTGTGAGTGCGGCTGCAGTCTGATCATTTACTGCTTTCTGTGTCTGTTTGTAACCTGTGAGTGCAGCCGGAGTCTGATCATTTACTGCTATCTGTATCTGTATCCTGTGAGTGCAGCCGCAGTCTGATCATTTACTGCTCTCTGTGTCTGTATACTGGGAGCGCGGCCGCAATCTGGTCATTTACTGCTCTCTGTGTCTGTCTGTATCCTGTGAGCGCGGCCGCAGTCTGATCATTTACTGCTCTCTTTGTCTGTATCCTGTGAGCGCAGCTGCAGTCTGATCATTTACTGCTCTCTGTGTCTGTATCCTGTGAGCGCAGCTGCAGTCTGATCATTTACTGCTCTCTGTGTCTGTCTGTATCCTGTGAGCGCGGCCGCAGTCTGATCATTTACTGCTCTCTGTGTCTGTATACTGTGAGCGCGGCCGCACTTCCTGTACCTGTCTGTACCGCAGTTCCAGATCTGTGAGTGTCTGACTGTCCATTCTCATATTAGGTTTCCAGTGGTGGCTATGGGAGTTCTGAAGTGGGTGGACTGGACAGTGTCAGAGCCCCGATATTTCCAACTTCAAACCGATCATACGCCTGTACACCTGGCTTTGCTTGATGAGGTATGTTTTTGCCAAACCCACCACGCCATGTTTAACCTATGTTTGTTATACCATACGTCCTTTTTTTTTTTAATGTTTTTGTTTTGTTTTGTTTTTTAGTAAATATTAGGCATTTTCTAGACTCTCTACTTACCCCTATTCCAAAAGATACTAAAATCCTATGGAATAGGAAAAAAAAAAGAAAAAAACAATATAGTGTAAATCCAAATTTCTAATTTTGGATGTTTGCCCATTATTAAGATTGCCACAAAGGATGACTCTGAAGTGACGCTGCGATGTAGTCAGGAGCGTCAGTTCCGTTACTCGAGGACTGGGAATGCCAGCAGTAAAAATGGCTGCTGGGGATGTGGAGGTGAGGCTGTTGGGGATGACAGGTGCTATAATACAGGACAGCTGGGACATGCTACTCCACTCAGTCTCTTTTGATTGGCAGCGGATCGATGTTTAAACCAATTAGTGAAGAGACTGGCAAATATATGAAACTAGGATGCTGGAAGTGGATTTATGCCGATTGAAAGATCCCATGAAGTGGGCGAAACGCGTTTCGGATAGAAAAGAGCTTGTGGACATTATTGAGCACCTTATTGTTTTTAATGGATTAATAAATGTAAAAAGGTCCTTTCTAGCTTCACCATCCATCTACTCCTAAAGAAGAGTAGTGCCTCCCTTTTAAGGTACCCAGAGCCAGGTTCCTTAGGCTCTGGTAAGCAGTTATTTATATAAAGTTATATATTTGTACTATAACTGGATATACTACACTAGAAACCACCCCCACCCCCCACCATTCCATAGGATTTCAGCATCTTTTGGAATAGGGGTAAGTGGAGAGTTACATGCAATCATTTTTAGCGCTCCACTCCAGAGATTTGTGGTAGGTTTGGTTTCACCCCTAGACCTTCCTTTTTTTCCTGCATGCTCATTCAGATGTATGAGGGGGATTCCCACCAGTGTGTGGTAGCAGCTTTATATGCATTGGAAGAGATGAAATTAACTGACTGTTGTTTTCCACAGAACAGATGCTCACAGTATTGAATTATATTAATGTGTGCACAGATCCTGTCTTAGAGCATATACTTCACAGCACTTGTGACTCCTTATAAATGGGTCATAAGTTCTCTCCCAAAATCTGTTTTCCGTGCTTTGTCCTGCTCGTTTTTTTGTAATTTCTCTGTCTGGGACTTGAGCCATCTCTGCTGTTTCTAACAGTTTTTATATGCTCTGATAACTTGGTACAATAGCTTTAGATCATTAGATCATAAAGAGAAGGATATTCTTTGTTAAATGAATAGATGTTACCCGTTAAATGTTGGAATTTTTGTCCCTTCTGCTGGGAGTTGTCTCCTGTCCATCCTCAATGTACAGTATTGTGACCTCTCGTCCTATGTTTGCAGATCAGTACCTGTCACCAGCTGCTTCACCCTCAGGTCCTGCAACTTCTCATCAAACTCTTTGAGACGGAGCATTCGCAGCTGGATGTCATGGAGCAGGTATCCAGAGGCTTTCTAAACGCCTTCACTGTCTGTTTATAAAGCTGTTACTAATCCGGCCAGGACAAGTGACAGTCCGTGTGTCCCCAAACCCCTTATCCCAGTGACATTCTGTGTATCCAACATGCTGGCAGTAAGTTAATTGCACATTCTGCTGTAACGTAGGGATCCTTTAAGCCTAAATAGGTTGTTTTTTTACAGCACAGACCATCATTGGTCATTAAAGTTTTTAATTTGATCGAATCCACTCGGAAGCAGGCTGGACACTCCTTGTGTTAAATAAATGAAGTGTCAATAAAGAATATTATATAACACAAGATGGTGCACAATTTCTCCTGTCACCCCTCTCAGTGTGCATTTAGAGAAAATATGTAACCCATAAATTGCCATTTATACATACAGTGTGAAAGGCACTACCTGATCTTATATTCCTCATCTGCTTCTCACCTAATAACGCTTGATAAAATGACTCCTCCCACTGCGTCATTCTGACATGCCAGTAGTGAAAGGCAGACGGGTTATAGAAAGCGAGTGCCTCTTGGTGTGTTTTTATAGTGTTTGCATTCCTGCATTTTCTTTTATTCTGTTTTAAAATAGGTCCTGCGGTCACCCTTACTTTATTTTTTCCTTCCTTTTTCTTGGTCTCCTCTGATTTTTCTTGTTTTTCTCTTTCTCTCGCTTTAGCTAGAACTGAAGAAAACATTACTGGACAGAATGGTCCATCTGCTTAGTCGTGGCTACGTCCTGCCAGTGGTCACCTATATCCGCCGATGCCTGGAGAAGTTGGACACTGATATTTCACTCATCCGATACTTTGTGACCGAGGTGCGCTGATACATTACATGCGGTGTTTGTTACTCTTTGTTTTGTGTGACTTTTTCTCCAACATGTGTGTGGTTTCTGTCAGGTGCTTGATGTCATCGCTCCCCCCTACACCTCCGACTTTGTCCAACTTTTCCTCCCCATCCTGGAAAATGATAGTATTGCTGGGACCATCAAAACTGAAGGGGAACATGACCCTGTGACGGAATTCATTGGTAAGTTATGGATGGAACGCGTCTGATCAGCAAACATGTCTACAACTGGGCTAACTGATGGTTGATATATTATGATATAAGTTTCTTTATTTTAATCCACCTTCAATATTTAAAGGTAAAAAAAGCCATCCTTTATTTAGTTGTAAATGTGTTATTGTGAGCATGTCACTCATTCCCCTCACCTCTTTTTTTTTTTTTTCTTCTGTTTCTTAATTTAAAAACCTTACCTTTAATCTAACATCCAGGCCAAGTTGTCCAAGAACCTTTCCACACTTGTAACTTCCACTACGTCACCCATTGGCTGTTCGCGGTCCAATCAAAGAATTGCTGGAACATGGTCATCTGCACGGCTTGTGCTGTGAGCCACCATTTGGCTTCTTCTGATAAAGGAGCATAAATTCAATGCTTCTCTCTCAGAAGTCGTTTACACTACACTGCGCATGCGTGTGATGTGTGCATTCACGAGCAGTGAAATGAGCCGAGATCCAAGATCTAAGCAGGGGAAGGAGGGAGAGAAGGGGTGCACAGAGGATATGGGGGTTGGAAATGAGAGGTGAAGAAATGTAGCTGTTATGTAGGGAGGTGCAGAGTGAAAGGAAAGCCTGGGAGGGAGAGTAAGGGCAATTTCACATAGAGGTCGCCTTGTAGTCACGCTCAAATCACTGCCTGCTAGAGAAGACCTCATTACGTCCGTCTCCAGCGTGTGCAGACATCTGGGAGAGGGACTTTGCACAGAACTCACATTAGTCATGCTGCACATGGGTCGTAACCCATTAATCAATTATCTTATTTATTTATATTTATTTTATTATTATTTGCAGCTCACTGCAAGTCCAAGTTCATCATGATTAACTAGCGAGTGGTTTGGGTGTCCGATTCCACATGAGTATCTGGAAGACATCAGAACGAGGAAGTTCCCAGGAGATGGCGAGCTTTCTTGGGCATTGCTTTTTTGTCTTCATGGTTTTGTTGTTGTTGTACAGACTTTTAGTTGAACTTTCTTAATAAAACATTAAAACTGTTTCGAACCTTGTTTTGTTGTGATATTCTGCATCCTTGATCCTGTCATTTTTATATACACATAAAAGTACACATGCGGTTGTGTTTTTAAATATCAAACACTATGAATCTATTTGCATGTGTACATTGTATTGTCTCATTTTACATCATGTTAATAGATCAAGATGCAAGTGCATTATTTTAATATACAGGTCTCTGTATGTCTCTTGTATTGCACAGGCTGTATGTGTGTATGTATCTCTTGTATTGCACAGGCTGTGTGTGTGTGTATATCTCTTGTATTGCACAGGCTGTGTGTGTGTGTATATCTCTTGTATTGCACAGGCTGTGTGTGTGTCTCTTGTATTGCAAAGCCTGTGTGTGTGTGTGTGTGTGTGTCTCTTGTATTGCACAGCCTGTGTGTGTGTCTCTTGTATTGCACAGCCTGTGTGTGTGTGTCTCTTGTATTGCACAGCCTGTGTGTGTGTGTCTCTTGTATTGCACGGCCTGTGTGTGTGTGTGTGTCTCTTGTATTGCACGGCCTGTGTGTGTGTGTGTCTCTTGTATTGCACAGCCTGTGTGTGTGTGTGTCTCTTGTATTGCACAGCGTGTGTGTGCGTCTCTTGTATTGCACAGCCTGTGTGTGTGTGCGTCTCTTGTATTGCACAGCCTGTGTGTGTGTGCGTCTCTTGTATTGCACAGCCTGTGTGTGTGTGCGTCTCTTGTATTGCACAGCCTGTGTGTGTGTGTGCGTCTCTTGTATTGCACAGCCTGTGTGTGTGTGTGCGTCTCTTGTATTGCACAGCCTGTGTGTGTCTCTTGTATTGCACAGCCTGTCCGTGTGTGTGTGTCTCTTGTATTGCACAGCCTGTCCGTGTGTGCGTCTCTTGTATTGCACAGCCTGTGCGTGTGTCTCTCTTGTATTGCACTGCCTGTGCGTGTGTCTCTCTTGTACTGCACAGGCTGTGTGCATCTTGCTGAGTGTGTGTATGTGAGCTATAAGAACTTGGTTTTTGTCTGCAGGCTCTGTGTCCCCTTAGTATTTATGATCTGTCATTTAGCTGTGAACCCGTGCATGCTTTGTAGTGTGCATCTTGATTGTGCATGTAATTATGAGCATATGTCATGTATTGTGCAAGCTGTGTGTGTTTTTATGTAACTATTTACCCTAAAAAGTCAATCCCAGCTATGTGATACTGTATTGGCAGATCCCAGCTATGTGATTTAATGCTGTACTGGCCAATCCTAGCTATGTCATATAATGCTGTATAAGGCGATCCCAGCTATGTGATATAATGCTGTATTGGCAGATCCCAGCTATGTGATATAATGCTGTATTGGCAGATCCCAGCTATGTGATATAATGCTGTATTGGCAGATCCCAGCTATGTGAAATAATGCTCTATAAGCCGATCCCAGCTGTGTGATATAATGCTGTATTGGCAGATCCCAGCTATGTGATATAATACTGTATTGGCAGATCCCAGCTATGTGATATAATGCTGTATTGGCAGATCCCAGCTATGTGATATAATGCTGTATTGGCCGATCCTAGCTATGTCATATAATGCTGTATAAGGCGATCCCAGCTATGTGATATAATGCTGTATAAGCCGATCCCAGCTATGTGATATAATGCTGTATTAGCTGATCCCAGCTATGTGATATAATGCTGTATAAGCCGATCCCAGCTATGTGATATAATGCTGTATTAGCCGATCCCAGCTATGTGATATAATGCTGTATTAGCCGATCCCAGCTCTGTGATATAATGCTGTATTAGCCGATCCCAGCTCTGTGATATAATGCTGTATTAGCCAATCCCAGCTATGTGATATAATGCTGTATAAGCCGATCCCAGCTATGTGATATAATGCTGTATAAGCCGATCCCAGCTATGTGATATAATGCTATATAAGCTGATCCCAGCTATGTGGAATAATGCTCTAAAATAAAGGAATAATCTTTGGTTGAATCAGTATATCAAAATTTATTGTAACCTGTCATCACGCTCTCTGCAATGGCACAGCGTCCCTATATTTCCACCATCGATGTGGTGTTTAAACCAGGAATAGCCTTCGTCTGGCGTACGTGTCATAATGCTCTGCACTAAGGGAGACACCTTCCAATTCCATCTGACATTATAACCACCATTCTCAGCCATTTTCCTTGTCACACATGTGACCTCATGTCCCTGTGATAGCATACCTAGCGCCCCCTCTGGATGGAAGAGAGCATTGCAGACGAACCCTACCAGCTTAGCCCATTCTTTCTATGTAGATTTGTTTATTATTTATATAGCGCCATCAGATTCCGTAGCGCAGACATTTCCCCAGTTGTGTATCAGTCTCTGTTATGTTCATTACAGCTCTATTGGATGATCTAGCTGATTCTGCCGCTTTGTTCTATTTACTGAAAGCTGATTTATTATTTTGTGTTTTGGTAAGGTTGGCATAGAAAATGTAAAAAATTCAAAAAGCCTATACTGTATTTCTGCAGTGTGTGATCTGGGCACAATGCTTTCAATTCACAGCAACATGTTTAGTCTTTAAGGGAATCCTATAAGTGAGTTTCCATCACTTTTAATGGTCATACAAGAATGGGATCTCCATATGCACAGTCGTCCTCAATAGCCAGGTTGTAGTTGGCTCCTTGTCCTCCTTTGTATGTGCTGGTCACTATACGCAGCCACCCAGCCTCGCCCTGCGGAGAGAAGAAATCAATAAGGATCGTATAATGAGCAATTCTAGCCGAATGATCTGTTAGATGGCACTGGGTTTGTGCCAAGGGAGATCTTGGACTTCTAAACCGGTCTGTGGGGTTTATAGTTAACACAAAGGGTTATATTTTATAAAATGATTCGAGATGGCACCAGTCTCTCATCACATGCATACACGCCCCTACACAAATACAAAAATAAATTAAAATCACTGTTTAGTAGATATAACCCTGATGATAACATGCATGCCATAATGATGCATTTTGTCATTGGGGTTATATCTAAAAATAGATTGTAAAAGAAAACTGCAGTTCTCTTGTCTGCAGCCGTTGCAAGCCCTCCCTTTCTAACTCCGCCCACACTTTCTGTGACTGTCCAATCACAGACTTCCCAATGCAGCTCAATGAGAATTCTTTGTAAGGCAGGTGCTCTGAGCAATTGTTCCTCTTGAGTTTATCTTCACTGAGCTAAACCAGGAAGTAACAGGACCGGTGTCTGATTGACAGCCAGGGGGGTGTAACCAGGTCCATTTATACAAGTGACAATTTCTATTGAAAGCTGCGATTCAGGAAGCTGACGTGCTCCAAGGGTCTGGAGTGTCACTTTAAATATTCCTGTTAGAATGCATTTTCTGAAAAAAGAATTGTGTAATATAAAAATATACATTATGGATATATATAGTTGAGGTGTATTATTGGTGGAAGTCAAACCTGATTTCTATATTCTAAGACTTCGACATTACCACCGCTCTAACCAGCCGATTTATTGTTGGATATTGTAGTTTTGTGGGTTTGAAGGCTTTGCTCTTTGAGTTTAGATAATTTTGTTAATCTGTGGCCTCCCAAGAAAGTCTTACCCAGGGCTCTCCCCAAGAGTTGCGAACAATCCAGTACTCCACGTTATTCTCATCTACTCCCCATCCAGCCACCGAGACAATGTGGTTGACCATTGGTGAGCGTTGGTATTCTGCATACAAGCCTCCCGTATAAGCATCCAGTTTTTCCGTGGCCATTATGCCACAGCTGCAATGGGAAGTGGAGAACACAGGTTAGTGCAACGCTTGGGTAATGGCTTTGCCCTAAATCTCCCCCCCAAAAAACCCCAAATGGATAAACCCCCCAAATGGATAAAACAAAAAAACATTACCTCAGATTAGATCTGTCATTACTTAGCGCTTGAACCGCCAATACAAGTCAATGTCATTGTGACTCCCCTTTTGGATGTCATCCATATATTGTGTGCAGGTTGGTTGCAGAGATAATGGGGTTCCCATGATCAGGGCACTCCGAGATATGTTTGATACATTGTATGACTCGTGTAGTGACTATGGCAAGGGATTTAAGGAGTTTATTTTGTTGTGTTTCTAAAGGGACAATAAATAAAACCAAATCCAAACGTTTATTTTTGGCTGTGTGTAGTGTAACTGTTTATAAATGTATGGGTGTAAATGTGTGTAGTGTCATTGTGAATGCAGATAGTATTTTTTTTGTGTAAATGCAGGGGTGTATTTTTGTGTGTGATATTTGTGTGTAGTGTAACTGTATGTTAATGCAGGGGTGTATTTGTGTGTAGTGTAACTGCGTCTGTGTGTGTGTCAATGCAAGGGTGTATTTGTGTGTAGTGTAATTGTGTGTCAGTGCACGGGTGTATTTGTGTGTAGTGTAACTGTGTGTGTCAATGCAGGGGTGTATTTGTGTGTAGTGTAACTGTGTGTGTGTGTCAATGCAGGGGTGTATTTGTGTGTAGTGTAACTGTGTGTGTGTCAATGCAGGGGTGTATTTGTGTGTAGTGTAATTGTGTGTCAGTGCAGGGGTGTATTTGTGTGTAGTGTAACTGTGTGTGTGTGTGTCAATGCAGGGGTATATTTATGTGTAGTGTAACTGTGTGTGTGTGTCAATGCAGGGGTCTATTTGTGTGTAGTGTAACTGTGTGTGTAAATGCAGGGGTGTATTTGTGTGTAGTGTAACTGCGTGTGTGTGTCAATGCAGGGGTGTATTTGTGTGTAGTGTAATTGTGTGTCAGTGCAGGGGTCTATTTGTGTGTAGTGTAACTGTGTGTGTGTCAATGCAGGGGTGTATTTATGTGTAGTGTAACTGTGTGTGTGTGTCAATGCAGGGGTGTATTTGTGTGTAGTGTAACTGTGTGTGTCAATGCAAGGGTGTATTTGTGTGTAGTGTAACTGTGTGTGTGTCAATGCAGGGGTATAAAAAGTCACCCTCCTGCACCTAAAAGGTAGGAAACAGGAGGGTGACTTAAATATTATGTGTTTGTATGTATGTGTCTTTGTATGTCTTGTGTGTGTGTGTCTACCTGTCTGTATGTATGTATGTGTCTTTTTATGTGTGTGTGTGTCTGTATGTATCTGTTTTTTTGTATGTATGTGTCGTGTGTGTGTGTGTTTGTATGCATGTGTCTTTTTATGTATGTGTCGTGTGTGTGTGTGTGTGTGTGTCTGTATGTATCTGTGTGTGTGTGTCTGTCGGGGGGATGGACTTAGAGGGGGGAAGAGGGAGGGGTGCCCATAGATCAGTTTCGCACCGGGGCCCCATGGGTTGTGTGTATGCCACTGGGCCTAATTACAGAATCTTATCGACCAAAAACACTAAAACAGTCATACCTCCCAAGCGTCATGTATCTGATTGAGTTGGTGTTTGAGGGAAACTCAAAGGATGCAGCTATAAGAAAACATACTCTATGCTAATCTATCTCTAATTTATGCTTTCATCCTTCCCATACCCCATAACAGCAGTATCCAGTGAAACAGGAAGTCAATGGGCGGGGTGGTGGGCCACTGACGCAAGTTACGTGACCAGAACTGCGAAAAGGGGCGAACATGCCCATAAAAGTGGGCATGTCTGTCCAAAGAATTGGAAGGTCAGCCTGGCATCAGTGTCCCTATGTATCACAGTGTCAGTGTCCCCATGTCTCCCAGTGCCCCATGTCTCAGTCTGTCCCGTGTCACTAGGATACTAGGGGACACTGAGAGACATGGGGACACTGGGAGACATGGGGGCACTTGTGGATGTAGACATGTCACTGGGAGACATGGGGACACTGAGACTTTTGGGGACACTAAGACACTAGGGACACTGAGAGACATGGGACCACAGACACTTGGAGACTAGGGACACTGGCTGGGAGGAATGGGGACACAGACACTTGGGAACACTGGGAGACATGGAGACACTGTGTCCTTAGTGTCTCCATGTCCCAATGTGTCTCCCAATGTCCCTGTGTCTCCTTGACCCCATGTGTCCCCTAGTGTCTCAGTGTCCCCAGGTCTCCCTGCTGCTTTCCCCCTCATCCCTCACTTCCCTGAGTTGTAGGCTGTCTCTGCAGGCTGGGAGCTACTGTCTGAACTCTCTGTGCTGTGTAGCTGCTCCCCCGCGAATCAGTGAGTAGAGAGAGGCAGGTATATGCTTTAACTTCCTATCCCTGCCTCTCGCTCCACATACAGTGACCCCTACTGGCTGGTGCTGGTATTGCAGAGTAAAAAAGGTACAATTTTTTTATTTTTTTTAAAAATGGGCCTGGGTCTGGAGCTGCAGCTCCATCAGCCCCTATTTTAATCTGGTCCTGCCCTTGGGGTAAACTATAAATAAATAAAATTACAAACCTGATTGGGCCGTTTTTGTAGATTTCCGCCATCATTTTTTCTCTTCCACTGACCGACCCATAGTCCCCGACCTTCCACAGGGTGTAATTGGTCAGAGAAAAGCATTTCCCGAAGGTGAGACAGGTCCCGCACTGATTGAATTTGTCACACTCTAAAGTTTACAACAAAACAGAATAAATAACTGGACCAATGCCAAGGGACATGCAGAAAGAACCCAAGTAGGGGTCATGGGGGGGACATGCAGTGGTCATGGGTGGATAGGTAGGTGTCATGGAGGGACAGGTAGTGGTTATGGTTGGGAGAGCTATGTATAAAGAATCCATGGAGTGTTAGTGGTGGATAAGGAGCTGATAGGTCTATTTATATTCAGTAAAGCCCTCTGAATATAAAAAGGTTTGAACTCTCAACGTGCTAGATTTTTCTTTCTAAAATGTCCTCATTCTGCTTGGTCCTAATGTTTCCAGTGGGCTTTTCCCCACTTGTCTTACCCTGATCCTTGGCCTGATAATTGTTGCAGGTTTCGTCGGGTATTCCGTGTTGGTGGGCATAGTCCCAGACTCCAAGATGGTCGCCTCCCTCGCAGGATCCCGCTTCCCCGCAGTCAATTACATTCTGTACAGACAGGTAGGCGGATGGCCATATCCCCTTCCTCTTTATATTAATACGGTCTGTGAGGAGAAACAATATGCGTGTGTACACTTGTTTTATAAAGAGGCTATCACAAGCTGGCCTCCTGTGTGGTGGCAAACACTGGGACAGTGACATGTCTGTGCTTAAACACTAGATTTACCAGAATGTTTGTCTCCAGAACCTAGAATGAACTTGCCTAGTGTATGTCATGTTTAAATATTTCCTGAGATGCCAAGTGTGCAAATATTTTATTTAATACTGTACAAGTGTGCAAATATTTTATTTAGTACTGTACAAGTGTGTAAATATTTTTGTATTTTTAATTTATAAATTAATTTTGGCACGGCATTCTACAGCTACTATCCCCATATGTCAAACTTGTTTTGTTAAAATGAATTGTTTGTCTTGATTTATCTATTGTACAGCGCCGCAGAATATGTTGGCACTACATATTACAAATAATTGTAATTGTAGACGGCTCTATTTAAACATTAAGCCCCCCAAAGTGAGCCAGTTTAAAACCATTGTTTGATTTCTCCTCCTCTCGCTATGCTCTTTCGATACGGACTACCAGGTGCAAAGGGCGGAGCTAATAACAATGACTAACGGGGAGTTAAGATGGAGGCGCCCAGTGGCCGAAAAAAATCATTGTGTATTTCTACATTTAATTATATTTTTAACAAACACATATTTCTTAAATATATTGAATGGTATACATAATATGAAATATCCTGGAAAGGGATAAGTTCCCCTTTAAGCGCCCTGGAATTACTGGGTTTCAGGGTTCGGGATGCAATCATACAAAGCGAATGTAGGAAAATGGTAATTTTGTGAATAAAACGTGCCGTTTTGAATATGATGTTATTGGGACAGAATTTACCTGCCATGGCGCTGGTGCTCCCGTGGGCCCAACATGAGCCGCAGTATTGGGGGATGTGCTGGTTACGCGTTGTGCTGACATAATTGACGCCATTCAAGTTGCGCCAATCCCAAGCCTTTGGTAGACTTTCCACTGGGATGTATTCATGGGGACGTGGATAATTCCTAGAGCAGGGAGGATGAAAACCTATTACTACGAGCATTGAAACAAAGAATGTGACAGCAGATAAGAAACATTCGGCCCATCTAGTCTGCCCAACATGAAGAACCTGGTCAGCGCTCTGGCAATGAAATGGTTAATGTGAGACAATGAATGAATGAAGAAATTTTAGTGTGGGTTGCGTTATCAGAAATCATGTGACCGACGATTAAAATGGCTGCTCTCAGTAACATACAAAGGGATATCCATTACAATTTTAAGGTCAAAATAGCCAAATTGCTCTGATTTTGGTCTAAGACGTAAAATTCACTTTGAATTCTGGACAATTTTTACTTACAGGTAAGGACTCTTTGACACAGCAAAAAAAATTTTTAACCTGAGAAACAGGAAGAGGGTTCATCATTTATAGAGGTGTATGAAAGGCGGGATTTGAGAAAACAACTTTTCATGTATAATGTCGGTATTTCATAACAGCTCAGGGTTAATATCTCATCCAGCGGATATTACTTTTCAGATACTTCGTAACCATTACTTCCTTATCCAGATAAACACTTAGTAACAGAGACCGTCTGTGCTGGCTCATCATTGGATGCACTGGTACCACGTTTCACATATAATGAGCGAAAGCGAAATATAAATGTCACCTGAGCTTCGAGAGAGGGACTGTTAGGGTGACTAAAGGAAATAACAAAATTAAATATATTTTTACATATATGTTGTAGATGCATGGAATGACCTTCCAGCACAGACGGTAGAGACTAATACAGTGAAAGAATTGGACTAACAGGAAATAGGTGCTGTTATAAACTAGGATGGGAAGAGATTCCCGTCATGTTGTGAAATACATCACAGATAATACATCACATGATTAGATTATCATACGTTTAAAGGAGCACTCTCACTAATTTTTATATATATATCTTCCAGATTAATTCTGGTCAGATTCTAATAGAGAAGCATAGAGATGCACGGTAGTTGCTGTGATCTGCCAATCCAGGAGCTCTCTATGAAAATAACTGATTCCAATACTTCACATAGAGAATCATTGGACGCACACTGTCTGGCACTGACGTACTTTGCGTGGCCCTCAATACCTCTGTTACTGTCACTATACCCCACTCCCTCTAACATGTAAACTCACTGAGCAGGGCCCTCAATCCCTCTGTTACTGTGTCACTATACCCCACTCCCTCTAACATGTAACCTCACTGAGCAGAGCCTCAATCCCTCTGTTACTGTGTCACTATACCCCACTCCCTCTAACATGTAAACTCACTGAGCAGGACCTCAATCCCTCTGTTACTGTGTCACTATACCCCACTCCCTCTAACATGTAAACTCACTGAGCAGGGCCCTCAATCCCTCTGTTACTGTGTCACTATACCCCACTCCCTCTAACATGTAAACTCACTGAGCAGGCCCTTAATCCCTCTGTTACTGTGTCACTATACCCCACCCCCTCTAACATGTAAACTCACTGAGCAGGGCCCTCAATCCCTCTGTTACTGTGTCACTATACCCCACTCCCTCTAACATGTAAACTCACTGAGCAGACCCTCAATCCCTCTGTTACTGTGTCACTATACCCCACTCCCTCTAACATGTAAACTCACTGAGCGGGGCCCTCAATCCCTCTGTTACTGAGTCACTATACCCCACCCCCTCTAACATGTAAACTCACTGAGCAGGCCCTCAATCCCTCTGTTACTGTGTCACTATACCCCACTCCCTCTAACATGTAACCTCACTGAGCAGGCCCTCAATCCCTCTGTTACTGTGTCACTATGCCCCCCTCCCTCTAACATGTAAACTCATTGAGCAGGGCCCTCAATCCCTCTGTTACTGTGTCACTATACCCCACTCCCTCTAACATGTAAACTCACTGAGCAGGCCCTCAAGCCCTCTGTTACTGTGTCACTATGCCCCACTCCCTCTAACATGTAAACTCACTGAGCAGGCCCTCAATCCCTCTGTTACTGTGTCACTATACCCCATTCCCTCTAACATGTAACCTCACTGAGCAGGCCCTCAATCCCTCTGTTACTGTGTCACTATACCCCACTCCCTCTAACATGTAAACTCACTGAGCAGGCCCTCAATCCCTCTGTTACTGTGTCACTATACCCCACTCCCTCTAACATGTAAACTCACTGAGCAGGGCCTCAATCCCTCTGTTACTGTGTCACTATACCCCACTCCCTCTAACATGTAAACTCACTGAGCAGGGCTCAATCCCTCGGTTACTGTGTCACTATACCCCACTCCCTCTAACATGTAAACTCACTGAGCAGAGCCCTCAATCCCTCTGTTACTGTGTCCCTATACCCCACTCCCTCTAACATGTAAACTCACTGAGCAGGCCCTCAATCCCTCTGTTACTGTGTCACTATACCCCACTCCCTCTAACATGTAAACTCACTGAGCAGGCCCTCAATCCCTCTGTTTGTGTGTAAACTCTGTGTCACTATACCCCACTCCCTCTAACGTGTAAACTCACTGAGCAGGGCCCTCAATCCCTCTGTTACTGTGTCACTATACCCCACTCCCTCTAACATAAACTCACTGAGCAGGCCTCAATCCCTCTGTTACTCTCACTATACCCTCCCTCTAACATGTAAACTCACTGAGCAGGCCCTCAATCCCTCTGTTACTGTGTCACTATACCCCACTCCCTCTAACATGTAAACTCACTGAGCAGGGCCCTCAATCCCTCTGTTACTGTGTCACTATACCCCACTCCCTCTAACATGTAAACTCACTGAGCAGGGCCCTCAATCCCTCTGTTACTGTGTCACTATACCCCACTCCTCTAACATGTAAACTCACTGAGCAGGCCCTCAATCCCTCTGTTACTGTGTCACTATACCCCACTCCCTCTAGCATGTAAACTCACTGAGCAGGCCCTCAATCCCTCTGTTACTGTGTCACTATACCCCACTCCCTCTAACATGTAAACTCACTGAGCAGGGCCTCAATCCTCTGTTACTGTGTCACTATACCTCCCTCTAACATGTAAACTCAGCAGGGCCTCAATCCCTCTGTTACTGTGTCACTATACCCCACTCCCTCTACATGTAAACTCACTGAGCAGGGCCCCCAATCCCTCTGTTACTGTGTCACTATACCCCACTCCCTCTAACATGTAAACTCACTGAGCAGGGCCCTCAATCCCTCTGTTACTGTGTCACTATACCTCACTCCCTCTAGCATGTAAGCTCATTGAGGAGGGCCCTCAATCCCTCTGTTACTGTGTCACTATACCCCACTCCCTCTAACATGTAAACTCACTGAGCAGGGTCCTCAATCCCTCTGTTACTGTGTCACTATACCCTACTCCCTCTAGCATGTAAACTCACTGAGCAGGCCCTCAATCCCTCTGTTACTGTGTCACTATACCCCACTCCCTCTAACATGTAAACTCAGTGAGCAGGCCCTCAACCCCTCTGTTACTGTGTCACCTATACCCCACTCCTTCTAACATGTAAGCTCACTGAGCAGGCCCTCAATCCCTCTGTTACTGTGTCACTATACCCCACTCCCTCTAACATGTAAACTCACTGAGCAGTCCCTCAATCCCTCTGTTACTGTGTGCAACTTGTCTGGTTACAATGACATGTCTCTTAGTCCACCCATTGTACAGTACTGCAAAATATATTGGCGCTTTAAAAATAATAATAATAACACGTAAACTGGGCAAACGATGGCATGGGCCTATTTACCTTTCTGTAACACATTGCAAGAAACTTGAAGATTTCTTGAGCTGTAATATATGGAATAAGACACGGCTTTTCTAGCAGATCTATATGTAATACATTGTCTGTAACCTTTCTGTATCAGTAAAGGGCGTTGGATATTATTCCGGGGGCACTTTAAGTGCTCGGTTTCTTTATGGTAAAACTTTGTCTCAGAAATAGATTTTAGTAGTTCTAAGAAATTCTTGGTCGAGTTAAAATGTTAATGTATACGGGATTTCTAATTTCTTCCAAATTCGATTTTGCATTCTTAATTCTGTTTATAAAGTATGGCTAGTCCAGTCTTAGATACATTCTATAACTGAGCCCCAAAGTTGGGGTGTCTTAGATACATTCTATAACTGAGCCCCAAAGTTGGGGTGTCCCAGACACATTGTATAACTGAGCCCCAATATTAGTGTGACTTAGATACATTGTATAACTGAGCCCCAAAGTTGGGGTGTCCCTGACACATTGTATAACTGAGCCCCAAAGTTGGGGTGTCCCAGACACATTGTATAACTGAGCCCCAATATTAGTGTGACTTGGATACATTGTATAACTGAGCCCCAAAGTTGGGGTGTCCCAGACACATTGTATAACTGAGCCCCAATATTAGTGTGACTTAGATACATTGTATAACTGAGCCCCAAAGTTGGGGTGTCCCTGACACATTGTATAACTGAGCCCCAAAGTTGGGGTGTCCCAGACACATTGTATAACTGAGCCCCAATATTAGTGTGACTTGGATACATTGTATAACTGAGCCCCAAAGTTGGGGTGTCCCAGACACATTGTATAACTGAGCCCCAATATTAGTGTGACTTAGATACATTGTATAACTGAGCCCCAAAGTTGGGGTGTCTTAGATACATTGTACAGAGCCCCATATTCTGATTCTTCATTAAAAAAAAATACACATGTGAGTAAAGGGTGATTATTGACATCCACACACATTGAGCCACAAACAGAGCAAATAAAGCATTGACTTTAAATCTTAACAATCAATGTATTTAGTAATAAGATCACAATGTGCCCAGCAGAGACCTGGTCTGCAAAGCTTGCACTCTAAGTATGTGGTACTTACTGAACCCCCTGGAGTCTCCTGGCTGCTGGCTTATAGCAGTGCTGCCCTGGTTTAAAATAAAAGCCCCCCTCAGCCCATGAAGTGAGGGCAGCTAGCAGGATGAGTCCCAGTCTGTTCATTGTGAAAGAGGAGAGAAACTCGTGATAAAAGCAGGAAGAAGCTTGTATTTAAAGCACAAAAACATCCCCTGCTGACTCACAAAAAACAGCAGTGCATGCTGGGAGAGGGGGCAGGGGGGAGGGCAGGGCAGGACACAATAAGTCAATTGGTGTTTAATGGGCAGCATTGTGTCTGGGTGTGGAGAATAACACAGGATGGTCTGTGATACCTTCTCAGAATAATTTCATTGATACACTGTGTCCTGCAATCATTCACATTGTATCTCTCTACTAACACTAACAAACTGCAGCCTGGGCCTCGCAGGGTTAATAACACTGCCGGTATATAAGGGTTAATCTGTGTCATGTGACTGCTGAAACTTTGTCATATCTCCCCTGACCGCCAGCAAGTAATCAGTCAGATGACATCTCTGTATAACCACAGAATAGACAAAGTGGTTAAATACTGCGCTTCTGCGACTGATCCGATACCACAATACCATCATACTACAACATGAGATAAAGGAAGCCATTGACCTCTTATCAGATGCACTCTGTGGATACTATGACAGTGGGCGAGAGCTGCAGACATTGTACGTCATACTTACTATAATTTTCCTTTACTTGGTCCTAAACCATGGCAGCATTACTGTGGGCCCTCTCCTTCCAATTACTTCATAGGACAGGAGATCGATTTCCCTTAACCCCCAGTCTGAGCTTCCAATGTCTAAAAACAGGGGTGCGGTAGTGTCGTAGTACCATGGCCTATGACTACTAAAGAAAAATGACAGTAAAGATGAAAGGATTTTCCCTTTTCCTATTATATAAGTTTGGTAAATATCTAAAGATCTAAAGAAAGTATGAGAGAGAACGAACGAACAAACAAACGGGCGTAAACAAAAAATATAATGCCCGGAGACTTTATTTACAATAATTAAAGAGAAGTTGATTGTAGAACCTTTTTTCCAAACTCGTCATTGACTGCTGCCGTGGTATAAAGCTGGTTGTGTTTAATAAATGTATTCTGAGACGCCCAGGAGCCACTCTACAGATATGATCAGTGGACACGTTGACCGCAGCTGCCATGACGTGGAAAGTGCTCTCGTAGAATGCGTACGAATCCCGCCTTCATGGACTGGTATACTTTAAGATGGCCACTGCTAGAGCTAGATTGTAAGCTCTTGCCAGCAGGGTCCTTATCAACGTATTGGTCTCATTTATCGTTAAATCTCCCCCCTTTGTAATATTGTAAAACGCCACAGAATAAGCTGGCGATATATAAATGCTGATGATGCTAATCCATCGGCTCAAACAGAATGAACATCCCCCATAGATCCTTTCTTGGCTACTGACAGTATGAAAAAAAATTACAAAATGTCTTCCTCCGTGAGGCAGGTTTGTTCAGATAAATCGCTAGACATCGAACGAGGTCCAAGGAATCCCACCATTTATCCTCTTCAGAACATCAGGAGAAAAATGTTCATTAATCTGTAAGAGCTCTCTCACATGAAAGATCCTGGAGCTCTGCAATCCATGTCCTGACGTCAGAGCCGCCGGAAAAAAAACAGTGTTAATTGTGAGAATGTGAAGAGGTACTTCACTCAAGGTTTCAGTGGGTGCTCATTGAGTTTCTGAAGTACCAGAGCCTCAGGGTGGAGAACAGGCCTTTACGGGAAGCTTTATCTTCATGTTTGTTGAAATAAATCTTGCAATATCTGGATCAGAAGTCCATTTAGTTTTGGAGAGAGCTAGCTATGAGAACTTTGTCCAGGTCTCCTTGAAGGACGTTCAAGGCTATCACTAATAGAAGGACTGGATATCTACATGCCGTTCTTTGTGGACCGTTCATAAAGAACATCCATAACATAGTAAGATGTGGATATTTTTAAGACTAAAGCAACATTTCTATTTACTGGAGAAGAAAACCCTTGGACTTTTCAAATTCCAGGCCATCAAGCATAATGTCTATGCAGTGGGTAGAGAACTGGCCCCAAAGATAGAAGGTCTTTGACCACTGGATGTTCCAAAGAGGATTCCCTCGAGCAGGCCTTTCCAGGACTGGAAACCAAGGCGTGCCTGGCCAGAAAGGAATGATGACAATTAGACGAACTTGCACCTTTCTGAACTGTTCAGTAGGGAACAGATCAGGGTAGTTAGTGGAAACAAATATCATTTCTGGAAATTCCATTGGATACCACATCCCAGTGTTCTGTCCTCAGATAGAGCCTCTGAGAGCAGAACCTTCTGACCAGATGGTACCTTGCGAGGCCATCAGTTGTGCAATAATGCTGCCATGGTCATAATGAGAAATAAGACAATTTATTAATCTACTAATTAAATCACATTAAGGACCTCAAACTCATAAGAATAATAGATTATTCAACTAAAAAGAAGACCTATCATGGTGTTACCAAAATGTATTGATATATTTTCTTCCCCACAGTTGTTTTAGAAATTGATGCAATGGAGTTTTATGTTTTAGCTTCCACAAGCAATAAAACAAACTAAGATTAAAAAAATATATATAAAATGATGACAAAATAATAAAAAAATGTGAAGTTAGAAATTGCTTGTAATGAAGATTCATGCGGACACATAAAGTTAGAATATGACAAGTTTACATGCGACATACACCCTTTCTGATATGTAACACCCCCTCCCCCCCCCCCACTGTGCACTGATAAGACTCGGGGACACGGTTGCTGCGTCATACTCACTCCTCACTACAGAACTTCTAGTGCTGAGCATCAGGCTGCCGGGGACATGCGTGAAATCGTACACTTACAGATAGGCCAATGCGGTAACCAAATTGGATCTAAGGTATGGGGGAATTTGGGATATTTTTTTGTCACCAGCACTTGCCACCCTAAATTTTGCCGTGCCCAATGGCTGTTACCATATTCCTGCTCTGTATCGTAAAACCCAGATGTACACCCCAATATATATCCCACTGGGAACATCCTTACTGTGATCTCTTCTCTGTCTTTCTGAAACCCAGACGTGTGTGCGTACATGTAACGTGAGTGCGGAACGCGATTTAAATAAACTATTCCCAGACATGCGATACTCTGAATTGCAAGAACCTGATACAAAACTGTCAGATGGATGGAGAGCGGCCAAATGCTTATTACGTTTCATTTTTCTTTCCTGAATTTATTTTCAGTGAAATTCGTGCAAATTACAACATTTTCCATTTGTTTATGCTTTGATGTATTTTCCATTGTTTAACCTGTTCATTTCTAAACCCTAAAACAGTAACGGTCAGCCTTGGCACTCCCAGGATATGTTTAGGACGTTTGGGACTCCCAATACTCATTTGATGGTAAAATGTGTGACCTCCGCTCTCTGAGCCTCTTACATGTTTGTCACAAACAGAGCAGGCCCCTTGCAAGGTTAATACAGGGGGAGTAAAGTCTCTGTTTGTTAGTATTAGTTTAACGCCATCAATACATAGAGTAGACCATTGGTGGGGGGCTGGGTATTGGGCAGCAGGGTGTGACTGTGAGAAGCTGCTCTGCTCTCATAGATAAGAAGGTTTAGGGCTGGTTTGAGGAGTGGAAGCGAAGATACAATTCCCAAATTACTCTGAAATAATGACAGGCCGTGTTAGACAATGTCACAAGCGCTACATGTTGGGCAGCATGACCGTGCGGGCAGCCACTGCACAGGAAGGAGCACTGTTCATGGAAAGACTATCACAAAGTACCCACGATAGCAGACACAAATGATCAATTACATTGTAAACTTGTACATTTGTCTTTTGGCTCAAAGACTCCCGTGTGTGTTTAGTCACTGATCTGAAATGATCTGTGAATACTTGGCAGATAAATTGCTGATTTTATAAAAACATATTTTTTGCAACACGACTGTATTAGCCACAAATAACTGTGCATTCTCCACAATTCTGGATTTGGCGACCAAGCCATCCATACTTTTATATTTCACTTATATTTAAACAATTCTATAGGTTTACAGTTCTGTGAATCTGGATTTAGCTCTTTACTAACCCTGTATATCTGGGATACAGCTATTTACTAACCCTGTATATCTGGGATATAGCGATTTACTAACCCTGTATATCTGGGATATAGCGATTTACTAACCCTGTATATCTGGGATATAGCTATTTACTAACCCTGTATATCTGGGATATAGCTATTTACTAACCCTGTATATCTGGGATACAGCTATTTACTAACCCTGTATATCTGGTATCCAGCTATTTACTAACCCTGTATATCTGGGATACAGCTCTTTACTAACCCTGTATATCTGGGATATAGCTCTTTACTAACCCTGTATATCTGGGATACAGCTATTTACTAACCCTGTATATCTGGGATATAGCTATTTACTGACCCTGTATATCTGGGATATAGCTGTGTACTGACCCTGTATATCTGGGATACAGCTCTTTACTAACCCTGTATATCTGGGATATAGCTATTTACTAACCCTGTATATCTGGGATACGGCTATTTACTAACCCTGTATATCTGGGATACAGCTCTTTACTAACCCTGTATATCTGGGATACGGCTATTTACTAACTCTGTATATCTGGGATATAGTTATTTACTAACCCTGTATATCTGGGATATAGCTAGCCACGTGTCCTGTATATCTGGGATATAGCTCTTACTAACCCTGCATATCTGGGATATAGCCATTTACTAACCCTGTATATCTGGGATAATGGCTCTTTACTAACCCCTGTATATCTGGGATACAGCTCTGCACTAACCCTGTATATCTGGGATACAGCTCTGCACTAACCCTGTATATCTGGGATACAGCTCTGCACTAACCCTGTATATCTGGGATACAGCTCTGTACTAACCCTGTATATCTGGGATACAGCTCTTTACTAACCCTGTATATCTGGGATATAGCTATTTACTAGCCCTGTATATCTGGGATATAGCCATTTACTAACCCTGTATATCTGGGATATAGCTATTTACTAACCCTGTATATCTGGGATACAGCTATTTACTAACCCTGTATATCTGGGATACAGCTCTTTACTAACCCTGTATATCTGGGATACAGCTCTTTACTAACCCTGTATATCTGGGATACGGCTCTTTACTAACCCTGTATATCTGGGATACAGCTCTTTACTAACCCTGTATATCTGGGATACAGCTATTTACTAACCCTGTATATCTGGGATACAGCTCTTTACTAACCCTGTATATCTGGGATACGGCTCTTTACTAACCTGTATATCTGGGATATAGCTATTTACTAACCCTGTATATCTGGGATACGGCTATTTACTAACCCTGTATATATAGGATATAGCTATTTACTAACCCTGTATATCTGGGATACGGCTCTTTACTAACCCTGTATATCTGGGATATAGCTCTTTACTAACCCTGTATATCTGGGATACAGCTATTTACTAACCCTGTATATCTGGGATAGAGCTATTTACTAACCCTGTATATCTGGGATAGAGCTCTTTACTAACCCTGTATATCTGGGATATAGCTACTTACTAACCCTGTATATCTGGGATACAGCTCTTTACTAACCCTGTATATCTGGGATATAGCTATTTACTAACCCTGTATATCTGGGATACAGCCTTTTACTAACCCTGTATATCTGGGATATAGCTATTTACTAACCCTGTATATCTGGGATACAGCTATTACTAACCATGTATATCTGGGATACAGCTCTTTACTAACCCTGTATATCTGGGATTCAGCTCATTACTAACCCTGTATATCTGGGATATAGTTCTTTACTAACCTTGTATATCTGGGATATAGCTATTTACTATCCCTGTATATCTGGGATACAGCTCTTTACTAACCCTGTATGTCTGGGATACAGCTCTTTACTAACCCTGCATATCTGGGATACAGCTATATACTAACCCTGTATATCTGGGATATAGCTATTTACTAACCCTGTATATCTGGGATATAGCTATTTACTAACCCTGTATATCTGGGATACAGCTATTTACTAACCCTGTATATCTGGGATATAGCTATTTACTAACCCTGTATATCTGGGATATAGCTATTTACTAACCTTGTATATCTGGGATATAGCTATTTACTAACCCTGTATATCTGGGATACAGCTAGTTACTAACCCTGCATATCTGGGATACAGCTCTTTACTAACCCTGTATATCTGGGCTATAGCTATTTACTAACCCTGTATATCTGGGATACAGCTCGTTACTAACCCTATATATCTGGGCTATAGCTATTTACTAACCCTGTATATCTGGGATATAGCTATTTACTAACCCTGTATATCTGGGCTATAGCTATTTACTAACCCTGTATATCTGGGATACGGCTCTTTACTAACCCTGTATATCTGGGATACAGCTCGTTACTAACCCTATATATCTGGGCTATAGCTATTTACTAACCCTGTATATCTGGGATACAGCTACTTACTAACCCTGTATATCTGGGATATAGCTATTTACTAACCCTGTATATCTGGGATATAGCTGTTTACTAACCCTGTATATCTGGGATACAGCTCTTTACTAACCCTGTATATCTGGGATATAGCTCTTTACTAACCCTGTATATCTGGGATACAGCTATTTACTAACCCTGTATATCTGGGATATAGCTATTTACTAACCCTGTATATCTGGGATATAGCTACTTACTAACCCTGTATATCTGGGATACAGCTCTTTACTAACCCTGTATATCTGGGATATAGCTGTGTACTAACCCTGTATATCTGGGATACAGCTATTTACTAACCCTGTATATCTGGGATATAGCTGTTTACTAACCCTGTATATCTGGGATACAGCTATTTACTAACCCTGTATATCTGGGATATAGCTATTTACTGACCCTGTATATCTGGGATACAGCTATTTACTAACCCTGTATATCTGGGATATAGCTATTTACTGACCCTGTATATCTGGGATACAGCTATTTACTAACCCTGTATATCTGGGATATAGCTATTTACTAACCCTGTATATCTGGGATCAGCTATTTACTAACCCTGTATATCTGGGATATAGCTCTTTACTAACCCTGTATATCTGGGATATAGCTATTTACTAACCCTGTATATCTGGGATATAGCTCTTTACTAACCCTGTATATCTGGGATTCAGCTATTTACTAACCCTGTATATCTGGGATATAGCTATTTACTAACCCTGTATATTTTCCTGTAATGACCATATTAATGAAGGTGAAATAACCCAGGTTTTCTCATGTAATTTATTGTAGTTCTGGGAGGTCATCAGTGACGAACATGGAATTGATGTGAATGGAAGTTACTGCGGAGATTCTGAGTCTCAACTCGAGAGGATTAATGTTTACTTCAACGAGGCTCATTGTGAGTAATACGGTGACAAAGCTAAGAGTTCAAGCATGGGGGGCATTTCTTGTCTCTGTAGTGGAATTTACCATGGTTCATACAATATAGTGCCTCTGCTTGTGTTCTACACAGTAACGATATATGGTATATTTTGTATAGTAACATTGATTCTTCTTTGTCATAGCCCATAAATATGTTCCGAGAGCGGTGCTTGTGGATCTGGAACCAGGAACCATGGACAGTCTGCGATCCAGCTCCATCGGACCCCTGTTTCGTCCAGACAGCTTTATTCACGGTAAATGTTCCCTCTGTATATCAGCACTGCTAGTACCTTGTGTTCTGTAGAAAAAAATAAAATGGATCTACGTGTTTTATATGGTTATAGGAAATTCCGGTGCCGGCAACAACTGGGCCAAGGGCCACTACACAGAGGGCGCGGAGCTGATTGAGTCGGTGATGGATGTGGTGAGAGCGGAAAGCGAGAGCTGTGATTGTCTCCAAGGGTTTCAGTTGGTGCATTCACTTGGTGGAGGGACAGGATCCGGCATGGGAACCCTTCTCATTAACAAGATCCGAGAAGAGTATCCAGACAGGATAATGAACACATTCAGCATCATGCCCTCACCCAAGGTGTCGGACACGGTGGTAGAGCCATACAACGCAATCCTTTCCATCCATCAGCTGATCGAGAATACGGATGAAACGTTCTGCATTGACAACGAGGCCTTGTATGACATCTGCTTCCGCACTTTGAAGCTTTCAAACCCCACCTACGGTGACCTCAACCACCTGGTCTCAATGACGATGAGTGGAGTGACCACATCCCTGAGGTTTCCAGGGCAACTGAATGCTGACCTGCGGAAACTGGCAGTCAACATGGTGCCGTTTCCCCGTCTCCATTTCTTTATGACTGGTTTCTCCCCACTCACCTCCCGCAGGAGCCAGCAATACACAGCCCTAACCGTTCCCGAACTCACACAGCAGATGTTTGACTCTCGTACCATGATGACTGCCTGCGACCCTCACCATGGCCGCTACTTAACAGTGGCCGGAATCTTTCGTGGCCGAATGTCCACCAAGGAAGTGGATGAGCAGATGTTGGCCGTCCAGTCTAAAAATAGTGCTTATTTCGTTGAATGGATTCCTAACAACGTCAAAGTGGCAGTTTGCGACATCCCACCTCGTGGCCTCAAATTATCGTGCACGTTTATAGGTAATAATACAGCAATCCAAGAGATCTTCAAGCGCATTGCAGAGCAGTTTTCGGCTATGTACCGGAGAAAAGCCTTCCTGCACTGGTACACAGGGGAGGGCATGGATGAAATGGAGTTTACAGAGGCTGAATGCAATACTCACGACCTGATTGCCGAATACCAGCAATACCAGGAGGCCACGGCTGAAGTGGAGGAGTATTTTGATGAAGAGGAGGAAGCCCACATTACAGAAACTGTAGAAAGAGTGTTTTAGATCTCAAGGAAAAGCAATGGACCATAGTCAGAGAAAGGACATTGCTGCCCCATCTAAATGCACAATGAAGCTACTTTTTTATTATTAATATAAAAACCCTCTTACCCCACAGGGCAGCTATTCTGTATAAAAAAAACAAAAACCTTATCCCCATCTACCTGCAACTTCTAATCCTTCAGGGCAGCTATTCAACAGAAATACCCTCACCCCAGCAACCTGCCCCATGGAGCAATAATTTCATAATGATACACTTACCTCACGTACTAGCTTCCTATAAGCCCCCACCTCCGCTATTTTTTTATAAAACAATACTGCTACTCCGTCTAGCTACTGCTTCACAACCCTCAGTAGAGCTATCCACCTGCCCCACTATTTTTATCGGACAGTTATTATGTAGAAGTACCCCTGGCCCACCTAACTATCCCCCTTAACTCTACAGGGAGGTTAATAATAGAAATAATGATATTCAGAGCTGTAGGTGGAACAGCATCTTAAAGCCCACTCAATATTTGTGGATTTATTTTTTAGTTTTTTTTATTTAGAACTATTAAGAATAACATTTTAGACCTGCAAATGTAATTTAGCATGTGTGGTAAAAAAAAAAAAAAAAAGCAATGTGGTGTGATTTAATTATATATCAAATGCTGTGTATGTTTACCTGATAAATGGACTACATTCCCAAACTGATGGATAAATATAGAAAACAGATATAAAACAGATTCAAACAAAAAGACTTCCTAATTTAAAATCCTCATTGTACTGGAAGAGGATTCGATGTCCGTGAGCTCGGCGAACTTCTACTGCTTAATGCGGGGATCTCATCTGGAAAAGGCATAGACTCTGCTCTAGAACCTTTGGCAGCCTAAGAGAGGAAACATTGGGCAGCCAAACGCGGCTACCGCAGAGCTCTCGAAATATTAAACCTGTTTTAACCAAACCCTTTTTTCTTCTTCTTTGTATAAGATCATAAGGACCAAAGCATTTGTCACCATTAAACATCGTGTTTGTTTCAGTTCCTTAAACATGTCCATATTCTAGCTCAGAAAGAGAGCGCTCACATGATTTCAGGAGCTTTGTCACATGATTTAATCAGCATTATCTCACATGGAAATCTGCAATTTGAGGGCTTTACCCCCAAATTATTGGGCTTACCCTAGAGCATTTTAATATAATAATCCTTTCATCAAGTATTGAAAGGAAATAGCTTCTTTTTAAATTAAAGTTTATTAAAGAAAAGCCATATGCACACACCTTGCGTCAGACAGTGTTTGAAAACCAGTTAGTCTCTATGGTCCGTCCAGCTTCACTCTCAGCACAGAAACAGAAAAGACCATAGAGACTAACTGTCGATGTTCAAACATTGTCTGACCCGAGGTGACAGCAGTCTTTTGAAGAAGCAGGAAATGATGTCAATCTGGCGCAGACCAGGCTGAGCGTGAAAGATCTATAAATAAGAAGAATCTAGACTCCTGATTCATTCCCAGAGTCAGGGCCTAATGTGGTTCCCGCTCCGGTTTAATGGTTGGAACAAGCAGACCACAATCTTTTCTCAGATACCTGCGCTCTAGTGTCCCAGCCTTGCTGCACACAGAGACCCTCTGACAGTACGAAGAGGGTGATTAAAAGGGTTTCCAGAATTTATTTTGTGAAACATTACAATATAATCTGGGTCCCCATGAAAAAATAAAGGTTAAAAGCAATTCTGCATATTTTATCATCACCAACAGAGGTGATATGCCCACATGACGGGTAGCTGGGGGAGAAGGCTATGGATAAACGGACTCTATGTGGGAAGAGCGGTCCTAAAGGGGGGGGGGGCATTGATCTTTATGAATTATACAGAAATCAAATCCGGTTTAAAGAGTTACTCCACCTATCATTAAACAGTTTTTGGTTAAAGTATCCCTTGACTTTATTAAAGGGTTTTATAGGGGAAAGGGGGATGTTGATTGTCACCAGCATGCAGTGTCATTGGCAGCCCAAAGGGAGCAGAGGGGTTAAACTATGTATGTGCCGTGTTTCATGGCCGCGCAGAGAGACTCCAAGCACCATGACCACTTCAAATCACTTGCCCGTGCCTCTCTAAATTGAACATCTACGCAGCCGGAGTAATGTGGACGGAGTTTGATTCCTCTAACATACATCAACAGCAGCTCTGGAATAACGGTCCTAGGAGTAACCCAACAGAAAAAGTGAAAACGAACACAATCTGCATATAAACTACAATCCTTTGATTTGTGAGGAGCGGTAAGTTTTTTAATATATAGTCTTTATCCGACACAAGAACTTCTCATAGTGTTATTATATATTATTCCACCATTGTATGTTCACACTTCACGGTTAGACTCACTCATTAGATAGCCAGAAATATCGGCTCTATTTGATAGTGGTTGTATGAATACACAGGTTTCACCACCGATATAAACCCTCTGTATGTCCCAAACCCTCCAATGCAGTCAATGGAACGCAAATCACAGCCAATTAAAGGTAAGTATACACCGCTTACTAAGAAGGTAAATATCTTACGCATAAGTTGAAAATCCACCACCTAAGCACAATGCGGCTTGACGTTCGTCTTCTTCCAGGTACATAAATACATAGTATACTCCCCCTTTTTATACCGCCGTCCTAAGTTCATTCACATAATTATTCCTTTGTTGTTTTCGCTCTCCTTTAATAGTCAGCATTCATATAAATTGTAATTTAGTTGCGTTTTTCCCGATACTCCCTCGTGATAGCGACATTCGTATTATCTGCATGTACGCCTTGCAAACGTGTATCCGCCACTACGTGGCAGATTTTAAATATATATAATATATTTACTTTACACAAACACGTCACAAACCAAATGAGGATAATTTGAATGTATTATGTCTGCGCTATTTTTTTTCTTTTGAGTTACTATGGCATTTGTGTGCAAATTATTTTCAGTGATTGGTTCACCGGTCATTTAGCTCCACCACCATTATCCACTAATGGTTTATTAACTGTCCCGGGAGTGGAGTCTGCCTGCAGCCTTGGTGCAATAGAAGTTACTCTGTTCCTTTAAAAAACTCAAAATGCTAAATTATTAGCCTTCAGCTTTGTCATAGTAAACAACTGCTAGGCAGCCTTTGGCACTAAAGATGTTTTTGGCAAAGCATCAGTGGAAATGTAGTCCTTCTTGAGTGTCGAGTGCTGCCAACCCCTGTACTAGTGGAACAATGTAAATAGTACATATGACAGAGTATGAGCTCGAGAGATTCCTTCTGAGATACACGCTGTATTGCATCCCAATGAGTGCTAAAACTCTGCTGTGTATAGAGCCAAAATATCAGCCAGCTCCCACACCTCCCCTCCCCCTACAGACACAAAGCTTGCATGGAGGGGTTGTAGAAATACAGAACTGGTAAGAGCTGCTCCTTGCTTGGAAGGGGAAGTTGCAGTCGGCCTGTCCGATACAGAGCCCCCACAGCGCAGGCTCTTCCCCTTTACATATAGCAGCTCAGTGAATGAAATGATCTTCAGCCACAGATCAAATGATTTCTGGAGAGTACAAAGCAGCTGGCGACCACAAGCTAAAGTCAATCCATCACCTCTAATACAACTAGCAGAAATCTGCAATGTAAAGAAGCTGGACTACAAATCCCAACATCCTTCAATCCAATAAAGAATGCATGTGCAATATGGCAGCAGCCTTGCCCTAGAGCTGAGCTGTTCCAAATGCAATCCTTAAATGTTCCTCGATACAACAATATAACTTGTTCAGCAACCATGAGAAGCCAGCTCTGATGGGGAGAAATTTACCATGGGAAGACAGAGACTTCTAATACACATACTAACTCGCCATATGGCAGGCCCAGGCAGACTTTCTGCATTATAGATTCATGTTGCTTTCATACAGCGCAGGCCTCACCCTCGCCAAACAGTCATACTTTTCCTCTCTCATTAGTTCATGCTCCCGCAATCCCAGACGTCTCTTTGACACCTTTAATTCCCTTCTCCGCCCTGCTGTGGCCACCCCCCAAACTAACCTTACAGCTGATAGCTTTGCATGCTACTTTACCGACAAGATTGAACAGCTAAGGAAACAATTCTCCCCTCCTTGCCGTTCTCTTTTTCAACCACATGTAAATCCTGCTTTCCCTACCCTCCAGACTTTCTACCCGGCTACTGAACAAGAGGTGGCTGCGCTTCTCCATTCCTCTCGCCCCACCACTTGCCCGCTCGATCCTGTCCCATCTCACCTCATCAGATCTCTCTCCCCTTGTCTTGTGCCTACCCTAACACACATCTTTAACTGCTCTCTCTCTTCTGGCACTGTTCCTGCTGACCTTAAACATGCCACTGTAATACCTATCCTGAAAAAAACATCTCTTGACCCATCCTCCCCTTCTAACTATTGTCCCATATCCCTGCTCCCTTTCTCATCAAAGCTTTTGGAAAGACTTGTCTTTACCCGTGTGTCCCGCTTCCTTAATTCCTTGACCCTCTTCAGTCTGGCTTCCGCCCTCTCCACTCTACTGAGACTGCTCTTATCAAAGTGACTAATGACCTAATCTCCGCTAAATCCAAAGGTCACTACTCCATATTAATTCTCCTTGACCTCTCTGCTGCCTTTGACACCGTTGATCATGCTCTCCTCCTTCAAACTCTTCAATCGCTCGGTCTCTGTGACTCTGTCCTCTCCTGGTTTTCCTCCTATCTCTCCCAACGCTCATTCAGTGTCTCCTTTTCCAAGGATACCTCCTCCCCTCACCCTGTCTCGGTTGGAGTTCCCCAAGGCTCCATCCTTGGTCCCCTCCTATTTTCTCTTTATACTGCCTCTCTAGGTAAACTTATTGCCTCTTTTGGATTCCACTACCACCTGTATGCTGATGACACTCAGATATACCTCTCCTCCCCGGACCTCTCTCCTGCCGTCCTGCAACGTGTCACTGCTTGCCTTTCTTCCATCTCTGACTGGATGTCCTCACGCTTTCTGAAACTTTACCTCTCTAAAACTGAACTCCTTGTCTTTCCTCCTCCTAATACTGATCCTCCTCTCTCGCTCTCCCTTCAACTCAGTGATATCCACATAAGTCCATCCCTGCAAGCGCGCTGTCTTGGCGTCATACTTGACTCTGGTCTCACCTTTGAGCCTCACATCCAGTTTGTTGCCAAGTCCTGTAGGTTCCAACTCAAAAACATAGCCCGCATTCGCCCCTTTCTTACGCAAGATGCTACCAAGGAGCTTGTCCATGCTCTAGTAATTTCCCGCATGGATTACTGTAACCCTCTCCTGATTGGTCTCCCCAAAAGCCGTATTGCCCCGCTACAGTCTGTCATGAATGCTGCAGCTAGACTGATCTTCCTCTCTAGTCGGTCCTCTCACACCTCACCCCTCTGCCGGTCCTTACATTGGCTCCCTGTATGCTATAGGAGTCAATTCAAAGTGCTAACCCACACATTTAAAGCACTGAACAATTCTAGCCCCTCATATCTCTTCACTAATCCATAGATATGCCCCTCCTCGTACCCTCCGCTCTGCCCGTGACCACCTCCTGACCGCTGCTGGCACCCGTACGGCCAACTCGCGCTTGCAGGACCTCTCGCAGGTGGCTCCTCTCCTATGGCATAGCTTGCCTACTGCCATCAGACTCTCCCCTAGTCTTCAATCATTTAAGAAGGGCCTTAAAACCCATCTCTTCAGGAAAGCTTATGGCCTCCCAGAGTAATCTCTACCTTACATACCCGTCTCCTGCTCTCTCCTATGGGACAGTGCTTTGCTCTCTCCTCCAGCTCTGCTTCACTCCTAATTGATATTTTTTGTCCTAATGTTTCTAATACCCCACCTCCTATAGTCTGTAAGCTTATTTGAGCAGGGTCCTCTTCAACCTATTGTTCCTGTAAGTTTTCTTGTAATTGTCCTATTTATTGTTACATCCCCCTCTCAAAATATTGTAAAGCGCTATGGAATCTGTTGGCGCTATATAAATGATGATAATAATAATAATATGTGTGCAAAGTGTCTGTGCGGTACAACTAAGGCCATGTATGCACGGCCGCTCTGTGCGGTATATGACGTGTACGACTAAGGCCATGTATGCACGGCCGCTCTGTGCGGTATATGACGTGTACGACTAAGGCCATGTATGCACGGCCGCTCTGTGCGGTATATGACGTGTACGACTAAGGCCATGTATGCACGGCCGCTCTGTGCGGTATATGACGTGTACGACTAAGGCCATGTATGCAACTCGCCATACGTGTGCAAAGTGAACAGAAACATGAATTATTTACTCTTAATATTTAATTTAGAAACAAATAGAACATTTCAATCCGATCACATGGTTATAGGTCAGCAAAATCTACAGCATTCAGGAATGCATTTTCTCTGGCCAGGCGATCAGATCCTGAAAGAGAGAGAGAGAGAGAGAGAGAGAAGAGGTCAGACAGTCCCAGGTCGGCTGATAAAGTGTTAAAGTAGCTCGCATAAAATCTAAGGACCAAAAATGGTCCATACTATTGGAACAATCTAAGCCAGTGGTAGTCAACATTTTTCTACCTACCGCGCACTAATGCATCTTTCTTGATGGAAAAATTTCCTTACCGCCCACCAGTTTTCACGCAAGTGCAGACTATTTTTTAGAAAGGAAGGAGTTTTTAAAAAAAATAAATGTACGTACATTTATCTTTTTATTTCTACTTTATGCATGTTTATAATGTTTTTAACTTTATAAAGTTTAATGAGGAAGCAATAAAGTAAATTGAAATTACCTTTACTAGTGACTAATGAGATCCTTGAGGCTGATGCTGCGAGACTAAATATTTGATATCTGGTTTGATTTTCGTAAGTAACAAACGAAGGTCTCCTCTCTCGGTGATATTCAGACGATTTCTCTGTTTGCTCATAAAATGATTTCTCATCTGTGCGTCATCTCCCCTCCTCAATTCCCCTCCCCACCTTTTTTTCCCTTCCTTTTTTCTATTTTTTTTTTCAATTTGACAATTTTTATTGTTTTATAAAGTAAAGCTTGGGGTACAGAAGAGAGCAGGGAAGGGTTACAATGAATATTCAACACAAATCACACTTTCGTCCTGACAATTGCAAGGTAGGCATGGTATTGCTCACAATATATACTCTCTCTTGTTTAGCTAGTCCCTGTAGCCTTCCATGTCGCCTGGGCTTGTGGGTACGAGAACCCAGCCTATGTGTGTTTATACGCACTCATTGCCCCCAGCTGATCCGCTATTCTTGGGTGGTGTATGCCCTGCGGTTACGGTCGCGGTCCCTGGTGTGTTTGTTTGTTTGTTTGTGCCCTACTGCACTCTTCTGCGGTGGGATAGGAGGTAAACCCAGGATTGTGGGGGGGTCTAGGGGGGGAGGGAGAGCGAGTTTTCCATGTCCTGTCCATCTGCCGGTCAAGGTTTTGCTACATTTGATATTTCCGTGTGGTTGCATGTCTGTATTCTACAGGGAGGAATCCCCAATTGTTGGCCAGTTACATCCCACAAGTCTGGGTCCCCTATCCTTCCCATGGGTGTCTTACTCCTGTGTTTTTTTCCTGTGGCCCTCTTCTGTCGTGTGATTCGGACCTATCTTGAGAAGTGTGCTTGGGGCATCCACTCTACAGCTCCTCATTATGGTGAGTTTCCCATCTAGTTACAGCGTCCCTGAATCTCTGGTTGCTGCCTTGTGTTTGTCTGGTCACCGCCTCATACCGCAAGTTAGTATAGATTTGTCTCTTCAGGGTGGGTATTGTCGGGGCTGTTGTCGACTTCCATTCCCTGGCTAGGAGTGTCAGTGCTGCTATGAGGATGTGGTATGTCAGGGTTGACTCACTGTTGCGTCGGGATCCCATGTTCATGAATAGGAGACATAGTTCTGGGGTTATCGTGGTGCTATTGTCTACTGTCGTTTTGATAATGTTTCCCACCTCGTCCCAGTAAGGTCTAATCTCCTTGCATGCCCACCATATATGGTACATTGTTCCCACCTCCTCCCCACAGCGCCAGCATTGGGTAGATGTTCCCGGGTATATTTTTGCTAGCCTGGTCGGTACCATGTACCACCTATAGTACACCTTCCTCATCAGTTCTAAATGCGATGTGCAGGTAGACCTCCCTCTGTATGCTGTGAGCGCTTGTGCCCATTGTTTTGCGTCAAACTCTTTCCCCAGGTCTGCCTGCCAGGCTACTCTGAACCTATCCGGTTGGGCCGTAGTGTTTTCCATTAGGAGTGAGTAACATATTGAGATTGTACCTTTTTTTTTTAAATTCTTTATTTTTGCAGTGCTTAGGTTTTACACACACGCTTGTCAAGCCACAATAGCTAGTCCAAGCCAATGAAGTAGTACATGTTTTACATTTCACAATATCATGGCATTCGTACATAGCACTTTTTTTTTTTTTTTGTTAGTTACAGAACCTGGTTACACGGGAAATCTGCTATTCTCATCGTTTGGCCATTTAGTGAACTGGTTAATCCTGTAACCTATGGGTTAACATGCTAGGTGAACTTCGCTAAATCTTCTTGTAACAAAGTAACATCGCTGTACTAGTTAGACATAAGGTTTTTATGCTGTGTCAATACAGGTATAGCTTAAAATGTGAATATACAGGGTAAAGGTACTAGGTGATACTTGCACCCGTTTTAAGTGCCTGATTACTCGTGGGTTAACTTTGCTAGGGTATTCTATCCTGCTTTTGCGGTTGCGATTGTTTGAAACATAGTTTAGCATATACTTAGAGTCCTGAGAGTAGTCGCTTGTATGAGCACCCCACAGCTTCGCCGTCGTGCAGTTAGGTATTCCTGCTCCCCGGAGGGACGTTGGACAGGCTTTGAAACTCATGCTGGTTCCTCAAGTCCTGCTGCCCGGGTTCTGTTTTGTGGCTGCTGAAGGTTGGTAAGTCCCCCTGATTTTGTCGCAGCTGCTTTCCTCCAGCCGTTTGGTGTCTTCTCCTTGCGGTTTGGTAGTTAGGTGTCGCTGTGCCGTTGTGGAGGTGATGTGCCTTCTGTGCCGGCCGGCCGAGCATGCCCGGGGGGTTGTCTATTAGATCAGACTCACAGGGCTTGTGTAGATTGCATCCCCCCGGGAGCCGCAGGTATCTGTGGGAGCCAGCAGGGTCACTGCGCCGCCATTTTAGATATGGCTCGTGGCCTGGTCTGCGTGTTGGCAGTCCTTCAGGGCCCCGGGTGCTTCGTGGTAGCAGAGGCTGCAGAGCGTATAGGGTGTGGGCCGGGATCACCCCCGCCGGCCCAGGGGGGGGGGGAACAGGGCCCGGTCCGCTCAGCTAAGGGAGTCTGGCCAGACAGCATCGGGCAGGATAGCGGGCGGCGGCCGTCCGTCTCGCTCACCGCCTGAGTAGGCCTCATCCAGAAGGAGCGGTGCGTATCTCTCCGGGGGACTAAAACGTTAGTCGCAAGCCTCTCCCCGGTTCCAGAGTCTCCCATGTGCCGGCCCACCTCTGTAGGTCGTCGGGTAGGGCAAAAAGTTTCTTGTTATAGATTGATGCTTTGAAAGTTGCTGGAGCTGCTGTGCCATGCGACCGGCCAGCATGGCGGTCAAGCCCCGCCCCCCGATTGTACCTTTCTTATGTCTGGGATTCAGACATGTGTGCTCAAACTTTGTGAGTGTGCTCGGGTCTCCGTTAGTGGCTGATTGGGTTCCAAGCATGGATTTAAGTTGTAGGTATGGGAATATGAGTTTAGGGGGTAGATGAAACTTGTCTTGGAGCGCAGGGAATGGCAGTATATTATGCGCTTCTACTAGGTGTTTTATGTGTGTGCAGCCCCTCTGAGACCATTCCTTATGTGCCAAGGTGTCGTTGATTACTGATAGGCTAAACAGCGGTGCTGCTGGCGACCACGGGGTCAGGGATGTCAGTACACCTCTAGTTCTGTCCCATGTTCTCAGCATGGTTTTTGTGGTTTGTAACATGTCGGGTTGTTTTGGTCTCAACTGTTTGGGCACCCAAAGTAGCTGTCTGAGTGTGGTTCCCTGTATCCAATAGTCCTCTATGTCTATCCACTGCGGTGGGGAGTCTCTTGTTTGCATATCCACCACTGGCGCCAGTATTGTCACCTGTTAGTGGGACCTAACATTCGGGAGCGACAGACCCCCTTCTTGGGTTGACCTGTAGAGGAATTTTGCCGCTACTCTCACTCTTTTGTTGGCCCATATGAAGTGTGAGAGCAGTGTCTGAGTCTTGTGTAGGTAGGAATTCAGTACGTCTATCTGCAATGTCCGAAAGAGATATTGTAGTCTGGGGAGGAGAGACATTTTAACCGCCGCCATCCTCCCCAGCCATGAGACATATTTGTCTCCCCATCCGTTCAATCTGGTAGCTAGTTCCCTGTATAGGGTCTCATAGTTTGTCTTAAACAGGCTGCCCATTGACTTCGTCAATTTAATTCCCAAAAATGTGACATCGTCTGTCCTCCAATCAAGCTCAAACTGTCCCTGCAGCACTTGCATTATGGTACTGGGGATCCCTATTCCTAGGGCCTGGGTTTTTGACACGTTCAGTTTGTAATACGAGCTGTCCCCGTATTCTTTTATCACCTTTAGAAGGTTCGGCATGGAGATCAGTGGTTGGGTCAAGGTCAGCAGCACATCGTCTGCGAACAAGTTAGACTTATATTCTCACCCCGTGGATAGATTCGTGTTGTCTGATCCTGGCTGCTAGTGGTTCTAATGCCATGACGTACAGCAGGGGTGACAGTGGGCACCCCTGTCTTGTCCCATTAGAGATGCGGAAGGGCTCAGATAGGAAGCCTGCGTTGAGGACCTGGGCGGTTGGATCGCTATACATCGCCTTGACCGCTGACCTGAACCCTTCCGGCATGCCAAATTTGGTCATGACCATTTCTAGGAATGTCCAGTGCAGACGGTCAAAGGCTTTCTCTGCGTCCAGGGCCACAATCAGTCCCCCCCCTTTGTGTAGTTTGGGCAAGCTATGCAGTATGTCTAGTACTTTTCGTGTGTTTTCCGCTCCTTGTTTCCCTGACACAAACCCGACCTGGTCGGTATGAATTAACTTCGGGAGAATGGTGCTCAGTCTGGTTGCGAATACTTTGGCGAATATCTTCGCGTCTGTATTGAGCAGGGATATGGGTCTGAAGTTTTGTGTGTGTGTGGGTGGTTTCCCTGGTTTCGGAATTGTGATGATATGAGCTAATAGTGTATCTCGTGGTAGTGCCTGCGCCCTTGTCGCTTCCGTGTATGTGAGTGCCAGGTGGGGTGCCAGGATGTGTTGGAATTGTTTGTAGTAGGTGTTGTCCAGCCCATCTGGGCCTGGCACTTTGCCCCTCGGCAAGTTATTTATTATTGTTTGGAGTTCCTCACTGGTTATGGGTTTAATGAGGTCGTCGGCTTGTTGGGGTGTGAGTATCGGTAGATCTATCTTATCCAAATACGCGTTAATATGTTCTCGTGTGGGTTGAAATGTGGCTTTGTCTGTGTTCAGATTGTACAGGGTGGCATAGTACGTTGCAAATTCGTTGCATATGTCCCTAGGGATCATTTTTTTCTCCCCTGATGGGGACATAAGGTAGGCTATTTTTTGGTTCGCCCTTTGTTCCTGCAGCCTCTTAGCCAAAAGTTTGCTAGCCTTGTTCCCCTGTGTATAGTGTCTCGCCTTTAATCTCTGGAGCATGTAGGCCGTTTGTTCTAATGCTTGTTGATGTAGCTTGTGAGTGATATTGGAAATTTGCCTTTTTAATTCAGGGGTCGGTGTTATTTGGTCACGGGTGTTCAACAGGTGGAGTTCTTTTCTCCATTGGGTGGTTTGGGCCATGGCCTGCTTGCGCAGGTATGCCGCTCGTTTTATAAATATCCCCCTAATCACTGCTTTGTGGGCAGCCCATATTATGCTCTGGGACATCCCTTCGGTGGTATTTTCCTTAAAGTATTTATTTAATGCCTCCTCTACCTCACTTTTAAATGTGGGTTCCGTGATCAAGGAAGCATTCAGCCTCCAAGGGCTCCGCTGTTTATAGTCGTATTGGTCCCTAATTGTCAGTATAACCGGGGTGTGATCTGTCCAGGTAATCTGTCCTATGTCACATCTTATTATTTGGTTCAGTCCCTGGCCCTGAATGAGGATTCCGTCTATCCTCGAGTATGTATTATGGATCTGTGAGAAGTGTGTGTATGCCTTCTCTAAAGTATTGAATATCCTCCACGTATCATAGTAATGGTGTATACTAAGGAGTTTTTGTATCTGTTTGCACTGCCTATTCAATATTCTGTATCTCTGGCTATGTCGTGAGATGTTAGTATCTAGTTTCGGATCCCAAACATGGTTGAAGTCCCCACAGATAATGGATATCCCCTCCTGTAGAGGTAGGAGTTTTTGGAGTACATGCCTCAAGAACTGGCTTTGTTTCGTGTTAGGGGAGTAAATACTCGTTAGTGTGTATTTCATGCTGTTGATAGTACATTTTACAATTATATACCTCCCGTTTTCATCCACCTCTGTAGAAGTCAGGGTGAACGCTACTTTCCCAGATATCAGTATGGACGTCCCCTTGGATTTGGTGGAGGACGTCGCATGGAATTGGTGGGGGTATGCCGTCTTGGACGGCAGGATGAAATTATCAGTTTTGTAATGCGTCTCCTGGAGACAAATGATGTCTGCATCTAGCCTCTGGAGTTCCCTGTGTAGTTGGTGTCGTTTGACCGGCAGATTTAACCCTCTAACATTGAGGGAGTAGATTTTCATGGTGGTCTATACTCTGTTTTTTGATGGTCCTTTTTTCTATTTTTTAACCTTCCTTATAGCAATGCCCAGTAGGAAGGCTGAGCTAGGTAGCCCACTTACTATTATTGGAGAGCAAAAAAACAAGTCGCAAGAGTGCACTGAGGACGGACAGCAGCTGAAATAGCCTGCCCTTCAGTGGGTCCCCGCTCAGAACTCAAGCTGGTTTTAGCTCATCTTGTGCCATTATAGAGAGAACATCTCTGAAGCATATCAGACTGGTCCCACCCATACGGGCAGTCCAGATCCGATATGCCAGCAAGTTCCCTCTGCACGAGAGATACAGCAACCCCAGACGATCTTTTCAGCCTTGTTAGGAGATATTAGCTATGCCTCACTGATGATGCCTAACAAGGCTGAAACGATCGTCTGGGGTTGCTGTGTCTCTCGTGCAGAGGGAACTTGCTGGCATTTCGGATCTGGACTGCCCGTATGGGTGGGACCAGTCTGATATGTGCGGATTCTGTGCGGTACATGAGATGTAAGACTAAGGCCATGTATGCACAGCCACTCTGTGCTGTATATGACATGCACGACTAAGGCCATGTAGGTCGAAATGTCACATTTACTTTCTGTTGTATCCTGTGTGCACCAATAAACCTGATTATAGAGCACCGGGATTGTAAAACCCTAAGTAGTTCATAATATCGGGGTTCAATACGTTGCACAGCTGCCTGTGGCCTCCATATTTGTGCTCTTGGCCAGAACAATAAAGGTTAAAGAGTATAGAAAAATAAAATAGGAACAGCATTGATGGCATAATAATAATAATAATAATAATAATAATAATGGCATTAGGGGGCCTATACGAAATGACTGCCTACCCTTTTTAAAGGAACACTCACCAAGACCACGTCATCTCATTTAGTTTTAAAGTGAACCTGGTATAAATAATGTAATTTACCTGCAATCTCTCCTATATACATGGAGTATACAATATACATAGTGTATTCAATGTAAATTATAAAGATTTACTCAACGTTTCCTCTGTTCCAGTGCCTGTTTGTGGGTGTTGCTCGTCGTGTAGCACCCACCTCCTGGCTGTCCTCTGCCTTCCCTGAGCCCCACCTTTGTTCTCGAATTTGGCGATTCGTCCCTAAGCAGGGCAGATCTCATCAGTGATGTTGGTACACTGAGTGACTGGAAACGCAAGCGGAGTTTACATAGCAACCGTAGTGCATGCCCTGAGGTTGCTATATGTGGAGAGTAGAGGGATCTCCTGTGGGAGGCCTTTTCTCCTCTTCATGTATCAGTCAATGCCTCGGTAAGGTATTGACGGACACAGCTGGGAGAAAAGTTGCGGGGAAAACCCTTGGCATTAAAGGCAAACCTTTTAGGCTGCTCCATAACTCCTTTCCACTCAGCTCTCTGTCCGCTGAACTAGCGGCCTTTTCCCCCCTAACATCCAGTGTGCCTCACAAAAACTAAGACTACATGTTTGTCCCATGCTGGGACAAGAAAGTAGTGGGCTAATGGCTCGTTTGACTATATAGGGTAAGTGGGAGGAGCAAATATACGGAAAAAAATATATATTTTTTTTTATTTGTTTCAGACTTCTTGTCCCAGCACAACCCATTTATGTACTGTCACGATATGCTAGGAAAAAAATATTTTAAATAAGTTACTCCTAATCAACACACCTGCTAGCACAATGTATAAATAAAATCGAATGCTCAATCTAATTAGCACAAGTTGTTTTGGGCATGACCTGTGCCCTTTAACCCTGCACTGTAAACATATTGCCTTTTTTTATTTTATTTGACAGTGCGATGTTAAGAAAGCAGACCTACAATCGACTTGTAAATCAGGGCTCTAAAGCATTAAAAATGCTACAGTGTTAATTTAACTGTCAATTCACATCTACACGTATCAGGAGGAGAGAGGAACTTACTTGCAATTCTGTTAGTTTGCCTGGGAGCTATGCAAGCGTTATAATGCAGCATTTGCAGTACTCTGACGAGAGCTCTCTTTGGAGCTAAAAGTGGCCATTTAAAAACTAGCCCCACCACTGACCCTCACAGATTATCTGCTAGGCGTCCATTGTTAAATTAACTGCGGTTTTCAAACAGCATTGAGATCCTTAAAGTCCGTAAATCTCATCTTGCCTGCGGCTAGGAGATATCTTGGGCACCGATTCCACTCATGTTCTGAGGTAATTCGAACATATTTCAGAAGTTTGTTAAAAGATATTGCAATGGGGACATGATTCGGGCATCCAGAATTACAACCTTTAGGATAGAATGAAAACTTACTTACACGGCTGGTGGAATCTCCACAGTCTCATTCTTTCTTCGGTTTTGCGATCCTCACATTAGCCAACGCTGCCTTGTCTGCCTCTGCCTTATACTGTGGCTTTAGAGCGGCTCTCACTGCAGTTGCACAGATCTGAGAGTACCTGATGTAGCTGAAATATAAAGTGATCATGTCAGATATGTATCTCATACACAGAGTTGGGGGGTCAGTATATAATTGGGTCACACAGAGTTGGGATTCCCTGTGGCAGTTGGGGGGGTCACACAGAGGGGGTTCCCTATGTGGCAGTTTGGGGGGTCACACAGAGTTGGGGTTCCCTGTGGCAGGGTTTGGGGGGGTTGGGGGTCACACAGAGTTGGGGTTCCCCTGTGGCAGTTTGGGGGGGTCACACAGGTTGGGGTTCCCCTGTGGCAGTTTGGGGTTGGGGTTCCCCCTGTGGCGGTTGGGGGGTCACACACAGGAGTTGGGGGTTCCCCTGTGGCAGTTTGGGGGTCACAGGTTGGGGTTCCCCTGTGGCAGTTGGGGGTCACACAGGTTGGGGTTCCCCTGTGGCGGTTGGGGGTCACACAGAGTTGGGGTTCCCCTGTGGCAATGGTTGGGTCACACACAGGTTGGGGGTTCCCCTGTGGGCAGTTTGGGGGTCACACAGAGTTGGGGTTCCCCTGTGTGGCAGTTGGGGGTCACACAGGTTGGGGTTCCCTGTGGCAGTTGGGGGTCACACAGAGTTGGGGGGGTGGGTTCAGGGGGTCACACAGAGTTGGGGTTCCCCTGTGGCACGGTTGGGGGAGTCACACAGGTTGGGAGGTTCCCCTGTGGCAGTTTGGGGTCAGGTTGGGGGTTCCCTGTGGCGGTTTGGGGGGTCACACAGGTTGGGGTTCCCCTGTGCGGGTGTTGGGGGTCACACAGAGTTGGGGTTCCTACCTGAGCCCGGCTTGTCTCCAGTAAGCCACCATGATTGCAGACACCGCACTGACTGACTGACAGGAAGGTCAGGCCAAGGAAACCGGAAACAGAACCACGAGCAGCGGCAGCCAATCAGAACTCAGAAAGAGCCACACCCACTACAAAGACAGCGTTAATCCCGCTCCACCAATCACAGAGCGCGACACAATGCACGCGTCATCCAATGGGAGGACAGCACACAGTGAGCAATGCCAGGGCCGCCTCTCAACAACAATAACTTTATTAATACAAACAAAGCAAGTCTCATTCATCAGGGAATCCTCTCAGACCCCAAATACTGCCCACACAGCATTCACTGCACCCCAATATACCCACATAGCATGCACTGCACCCCAAATACTGCGCACACAGCATGCACTGCACCCCAATATACCCACACAGCATTCACTGCACCCCAATATACCCACATAGCATTCACTGCACCCCAAATACTGCCCACACAGCATGCACTGCACCCCAATATACCCACAGCATGCACTGCACCCCAAATACTGCCCACACAGCATGCACTGCACCCCAATATACCAACACAGCATTCACTGCACCCCAATATACCCACACAGCATGCACTGCACCCCAAATACTGCCCACACAGCATGCACTGCACCCCAATATACCCACATAGCATGCACTGCACCCCAAATACTGCCCACACAGCATGCACTGCACCCCAAATACTGCCCACACAGCATGCACTGCACCCCAGTATACCCACATAGCATTCAATGAACCCAATATACCCACACAGCATTCAATGAACCCAATATACCCACACAGCATTCACTGCACCCCAATATACCCACACAGCATTCACTGCACCCCAATATACTGCCCACACAGCATGCACTGCACCCCAATATACCCACACAGCATTCACTGCACCCC